GTTCACCTGAGAAAGCCCTTGAAATGCAAGGCCAATGAGAAAACTCCCCAACCCAGAGTTAAAACGTCCATAAAAACCCCAGCCTTCACCTGTGCAGCAGCTTCCCAGCTCCGCTGCAGTTCCCTAACTGTAGCCTTTCCTTTCTCTCTAATAAATCCTACTTTGTATACCGGCTTTGCCTCATCATTCAGCTGCCTCATGAGCCAGTTCTCTGGCCTGTGAAGGCAAGGACCATCAACACTGGCAAATAACATTTTGGCGACGCACGAAGGGACCCAACCTCCTCTGACCCAAGGTCGGTATAGGTTGTGCCAAACAAGGAAAGGCTGCCTAGGATTGTGACCATGAGCATATGGCACTCCGATGGAGTCTGTTTTCCAGGAGAGACCCCCACCCCCCACCCACCACGACCTAGCTATGGTGGAACTCTCAAGTCTACCTTTTCTCTCTCTCTCTCTCTCTCTCTCTCTCTCTCTCTCTGTCTTGTTAAGGATTGCTCCCTTGGCAAACTGAGGAAAAGCTCCGAGCCCACTATAGCTAAACTGGCAGGCAATCTGAGGAATCTGAGGCCAGGTGGGGGATTATACCACACTACCAATGCTACGTGGGTGGAACCTGACTTCAGTGCACCAAGGTGTTTTCTTTTTTCCTCTCCTTAAATGCTAACTCTTTCAAGATCTGACCAGCTTAAGGGGAGGTCCGAAAACAGCCTGTGGAAAGGAAAGTTTGTCTTCAAGCCACAAAAGGTGTTCTGGCTGGGGCACTCCCTGGTGTCACCCAAAGGCTGGAGACGCAACTTCCTAACCCACTCTGAGGCTCCAAAAGCGGCTAAGTCTCAGTCCCTTCCAGCCATGTCCGTGGCAAAGAGACAATCAGATCTCTCATGCTTCCTTCATGGTTACCATGGCCCAAGAGTAGAGGTCACCTCTTGCTTCCAGTGCTCCAGTACTGCCTTTGGACAGGATCAACATGGACAGCAGGTATGACCAATAATCCCTCATGTGTTGAGCCTGGAAACTCTCTTTTCCCCCAACCCTTAGCCTCTCCTTCCTCTTTCCCAAGCAGCTCAGGATGAATGGCCTCACCCTTTTGTTCTAAATAGCTGTGGGCTTCCTTTAGTGAGTTTGGAAAATACACCCATTCAGCTCCCTCCCTGGTCCTGCCTTGTTCTTTATCTCTGTTTTCCCTTCCCTGGGCTTACTGGGATCCTGGCTTCCCATGAAAAACTTGTAGCATGGTACATTATGACTTAAGTTATTCCAACTAGTTTACCAGTCCTTACAAAAAACTGCGGCTGCCATGCTCACGCCCTAACTCCACCCCCACAAGGGGAGGAGGGAAAGCAAACAGGTGCACTCATACACAGGGATGCAGGCTCCTGGGCACAGTGGGACACCTGCCATAACTAAGAGAATCCATAGAGAGGACCCAGTACATCCTACGCCTCCAGCCACACGTGGTGATGGCTGCGGCCCGCTGCCACTTCCCCAAAATGGATGAGAGGAAAAATAACTTGCACAGGTGCGTGTACATGGGAAGGGGGGAGAGGAGACAGGCCGCTGGATGGGATCACTCATCCCGGGCATGGGGGGGGAGCAACAACACTTTGCTCAAGTCTGGTTCCCAGCTCCACCTTACGCCTGACTGACCCAGCCCTCATAAGCTAATTGCTATCTCAAGGTTACAATCCCAGAAATAGCAAAATGGGTGTTACTGTGGTTACTAAACTTCTCATTTAAAATTTCCTATACTTTTTCCCTCCAAATTATTAGAACTAATTGTCCCTTATGGTACTGTTATTGCCCCGGGATGCCCTCTGAACACCCTTCTCTAGCTTTACAGACGATGTATTCCTTTGTTAAAAAGGTAGCCTTTATTAAAGAGGCTGCCTGCTGTTAAATAAAAGGCAGGATCCTAGCGTTTTTTTTTTTTTTCTCTTCTCACTGCATTGGTCAGGTGGTCTAACCCAACCAGTTCACTTTCCCAGTCCTGACCACGGATGGGGGGGGAAAATCACAAGACAGGGGTGCCTGGACTTGTTGGTAAGGTCATTCCCAGTCAGGATGCTGACAAGAAGGGAATTGACCCAGTTTATTGTTGTCATTTTTCTGGATGGATCTGCCTCCTTCCAGTCTTCTGGCTTGTCTATTAAAACATTGAAAGGAAATATTGGAAACTTTGCACTGAGGCCTGGCCTCAGTATTCCTTAGATGACCAAGAGAAGTGGCCTTCACAGGGCTCCTTAAATTGCAATACCATACTCCAATTAGACCTTTTCTGTAAAAGGAAGAAAAGTAAACTGAGGTCCCTTATACAAATTTTCTTTTAACTCCAAGACCACCCAGACTGGCTCCACAATTGCTATCTAGATACTCAAACGCTGGCTATTCTTTGTAAGCCACAGGACAAACATGGAAAGGAGGACCAGAAATGCCCCTTATCAGTGACAAGGCCCCCTCCCCTACAGCTCCACCCTTTGCCCCTACCTTCTAAGCCACCCTAATATTCAGAACTCCTTAATGGGTGCTTCCCCCTTCAACAGGCAATGGTAGGAAGAGGGCAAGTCTATGTCCCCTTCCAGTTATCAGATCTAAGAGGAATTAAAAAAAGATCTGGGCAGCTATACTGATGCACCTGATCAATACATTCAAGCCTTTATCTCTGTGATTCAAACCTTTCAACTGACATGAAAGGATGTTATGTTTCTATTAGACCAGACTCTCTTCTCATTAGAAAAGCAATGAGTTCTGGCCCAGGCCACTCAGGTTGGAAATGATTACCACTTACAATGAGCCCCAGTACTAGTGGCACCTGGAAATGAGGGAATAAATGTGCCTATACCTACAGGGGCACAGGCAGTCCCCTTGACAGATCCACACTAAAAGGGGCTGATGATATTGCTCAAGCAGTAGAGTGCCACTTTATAGGCACAAAGTCCTGAGTTCAAATCCCAGTACAGCCAAAAGAAAAAAAATATTTGGGGCTGAGGAAGTAGCTCAGTGGGAGAGTGTCTGCCCAACATGTGAGAGGTCCTGGGTTCAATTCACCAACATTGCTAAATAAAAAAAAAATGGTAAGAAAGATAAGTGGCGTTAATCTCACTTCAGCCATCTCATAGTGGAATAAAGTAGTTTAACCTAGACCATATCCCTCATTCTTCAAGTGAGGAAACTGAGGCCCAGAACAGATCAGAGACTTGCTCCCCAGAGTGTCAGATGTCAATGTAAAATAACAACTTTGCTTTACAACAACGGCCTGAAGAAAACCCCCTTCCCTTTCTGCAGCATCTTAAGGACGCTATCAGAAAGCATACCACAGGGGACACAGAGTCACAGGTGTCTTACCTATCCTCACCCTTCCCTTGTGTGCTCTCTCGCTTTTATCATGTGCTCAAAGTCCAATCCCCTTGTTATGTTTGCCCTTGATCTAATGTCCACATATGAGGGAGAACATACGATTTTTGGTCTTTTGGGCCAGGCTAACCTCACTCAGAATGATGTTTTCCAATTCCATCCATTTACCAGCAAATGATAACATTTCGTTCTTCTTCATGGCTGCATAAAATTCCATCGTGTATAGATACCACATTTTCTTAATCCATTCGTCAGTGCTGGGGCATCTTGGCTGTTTCCATAACTTGGCTATTGTGAATAGTGCCACAATAAACATGGGTGTGCAGGTGCCTCTGGAGTAACCTGTGTCACAGTCTTTTGGGTATAAATTCTTCTTGATCTAACCTTTTCTCTAGTTCCTGGTCCCCTTCTCCTATTGGCCTCAGGTGTAAAGATCTTTTATTCAGAAGTGTTACTTAACCTAAATCCTGACAGCCCCTGTCTCCCACAGGTCACCTACCTAGGTGTGGCCTTAAAGGGACAGACTTACCTCCTGAGTCATGAGGGAATCTACCCAATCTTCCATTTCCCACTCCCTCAAACCATAAAACAGTTTAGAGCATTCTTGGGAGTCACATGATTTTGTAAAATCTAGATCCCTAGATATGCAGCCCTTACCAGACACCTTTTTATGCTCCTACTAATATTGCTATTTGGGTCTTGTATAATAAATGCTCTCTCCAGATTTATATCTCAACAGGTCCAACAGATCAAACTCCAGCTTTTAGTTAAGAAATACTCACCTCTGCCTAGGCATGAGCCCTCCATCCCGTTCTATCGGGGCCCCTTGGAAACTACACAGGTCAACCCCTGAGACAAGTACCCTCTCCACTATCATTCCCCCCCCCCATTGTCAGCACAAAGCAGCTAGATGAGTCATCATCGCCCCTTTCCTCAACAGCAGTTGGGTGCTTGTCTCAGGGGGGATTTGTTGGGTCTAGAGACCTAAGGCAGATGAATATCCCATCCCCCATGGAGGCCTGCATTCCTGTGTCCTAAAGGAGAGATACAGATCTGCCACAGGGCTGATGAGCAAAATGCTCTCGATTGTTCCCTTCCCCCAATAAAGGTGCTGACCAAACCAGTTCACCTGAGAAAGCCCTTGAAGTGCAAGGCCAATGAGAAAACTCCCCAACCCAGAGTTAAACGTCCATAAAAACCCCAGCCTTCACCTGTGCAGCAGCTTCCCAGCTCCGCTGCAGTTCCCTAACTGTAGCCTTTCCTTTCTCTCTAATAAATCCCACTTTGTATACCGGCTTTGCCTCATCATTCAGCTGCCTCATGAGCCAGTTCTCTGGCCTGTGAAGGCAAGGACCCTCGACACCAGCATGTAACACGCTGTTCCTAACACACCCCGCCCCATTTCCGAAGTTCAAGGTGCCTGGACAGCAGCAACCAACATGCCAGACTGGAAGTCCAGAAAGCGGAAGCCGTGGCACAGCGAGACTCCCGGAAGGGCGGGGCCGCATGGATGGGCGGGGCCAGAAGGAGGGTCCTACAGGCCCCGCCCAGGCACCGGGCAGATTTGGCGCCTAAAGCCCAGGAATGTTTCAGCGCCTGTAGTTCCAGAATCTCGCGAGAAGTGAGGTTCCCGCGCTTCGCAGAGCTGCGCGCTGTGGCTGTGAGCACCGGGGGCTGGCGGGGAAGCTTGGGAGCTGAGCGGCCGCCCCCCAGGTGGGCCGCGGGGCGGGAGAGCTGGGAAGTTGCAGGACTGCTGGGGAGGCTGGAGACGGGACCTGGGCGGGCTGGGCCTGAACGGCCAGTGCCTCCCGTGGGTGCGGGCCGGGGCACGCGTGCGTCCGGGCCTCTGAGTTGGAGTGAGGCTGCCCAGACCGAGCCGGGGTGAGAGGTAGGGGAAGAGGGGTGGAGGTTTGATGCTTTTCGGGGCGGCACCCAAAGGGGTGTCAGCCTGTTAGGACTGGAAAGTGGGACATTAGAAAAAGAAGGGTATGGGGATGAGTTGAATTTGAGACTGGAGGGGGAAGCTAAGGCAAGTGGGTCAGCGCTCAACAAGACTCCTGCCAAGGAGTGAAGCCGGGCGCGGTGGCTCCGAGCTACTGGGAAGGCTGAGGTCTGGAGGATCGCAGTTCAAGGCCAGCCTGGGCAAATAGTTCGTGAGACTCTGTCCAAAATCGGTTCACTACTCAGCCTCAGTCCGTTCCATGCTGTCATCAGGCCCCCCAAATTCCCTGCCAGACATGGGGAACCCTGCTTCTTCCTAGGCTGCTGGTTTAGGGGCTGGCAGGCACTTCGCCACTAGCCACACCCCAGCCCTAAATACACTTCTGGTAGCTAGGAAGCTACGTTAGATTATGGAACGTTAATTGCCTTTCCAATTTTGAAAATCTGAGAGACTTTTAAAGTTTCAGTTGGTTATCGTCAGTTGATGCCTTGTATCTATGTATTTATGGTTATTGACATTTAGAATTGGAGGAATTTTAGAGATTATTCGAATAGTTTTGGAGCAGCCTTGGATTTTTGTTTTGTTTTGGATTCAAGGTCTCTATATTGCCCAGCCTGGCCTCAAATTCCTGGGCGCAAGGGGTCCTGCTATCAGCCTCCTGAGTGCTGGGACTCCATGTGGCATGCCACCGGTCCTGGCTTGGAATTATTTTTTTGAATTCCTTCACTCAACAAATACATATTGTGCATTGGCTGTACTAGCATTAGGGACACAGTGGTGATGCACAAACAGACCTAAATGGTCTGCACTTGTAGAGGTACAGTACAATAAGAGACAAACATTAAATAACCACAGAAAGCCTAATATCGAGGGGCTGGAGACATCTCAGGTAGTACAGTGCTTACCTAGCAAGCATGAGGCTCTGAGTTCAAACCCCAGTACCACCACCAAAAACCCTCAAAACCTAATATTGAAATAATAATTCCTGTGAAACTTGTACTTGATACTGTTGGTGCTTACTAAAGGAGAACTTAATTTGGGGACATTGAATTAAATTTTTTTGTGGAGGGAGGTGATAGTTAAGATATGAAAGAGTCAAGAGCTTTCAAGATAGGAAATAACAATTGCTAAGGTTTTTTTTTGTGGGCCTTATTGTTGAACTCGGCATCACACAGGGCCTCTATTGCTTGAGTCACACCTCCAGTCCATTTTGCTCTGATTATTTTGGAGATGGGGGTCTCAAACTATTTGCTCGGGCTGGCCTCAAACCTCGATCCTCCAATTTCAGCCTCTCAAGTAGCTAGGAATACAGGCCTGAGCCACCAGCTCCCAGCTATGATCCAATTCTTAACAGTGGATATGGCTCTTAACAAGGAACTGGGGGAGAAAAAAAGAGTGGTGTGAACTGAGGCTAGAGAAGTATGAAGTGATCAAATCATACAGGGCCGTGATATTTTATTAAAAGTCAGAAGCCATTGAAATTCTTAAGCCAAGTTTCAATGTAATCAGCTTTATGTTTTCAGAGGTCCAGTGTTGCTGTAATAAGGAGAATGAATTGAAAAAGGCCAACGTGAATGGCAAAAAATGGAGTAATTCAAGCAAGAAATGTGATTATGAAGTGATTATGGAAATAGGGAGAAATAGATTCAAGGGATATTTAGAAAATAAAATGGACAGGAGATGTGGAGTAGGAGGAAGGAAGTGTCAAAGATGACATGTAGATTTCTGACTTGCATAGCTAGATGTCATTCACTAAGGAACATTTAAAAGTTCAGTTCTGTACATGATGAGTTAATTAAGTGCCTTCGAGACCTGTAAAACAGGTGGTAGAAATCTGGAGCTCAGGGTTGAGGCCTAGGGTAGAGATAACAATGAATGATTATAAATTAGTGATTAGGAAAGCCATGTACAAAAATTAATTGAGAGCCATAAGATGAAGTCTTAGATACTTACTGGCCAGTTAGAAGATGATGAACCTGCAAAGAAGATTCAGAAGAGTCCAGAAAGGAAAACCAAATGACTACTGTGTTTCAAATGTCAAGGAAAACATTTTTTCCAGAGAAAGGATTGACCAAAAGTGTCAGATATTGCTGACACTTCAGCAAGATGGTATTACTCTTTTGAATTATCAGCCAGAGGATAATGTCCCATTCTTCAAAGGAAATCTTGCCTAAAAAAAGCCAACATGTAAACAGATCTGCTTTAGTTGGAGTAGGGGTAAAATGTCTTATCCTGCCTATTTCACATCTTTTTGGATGAAACCAAAAAGATGAAACCCTCTGAAGACCAAATTAATCTTTTTATGATAGGGGAAACTCAATATTTGAAACAAAATTATTTGTTCAAAGTCATACAGTTATTTGGTTGGTAGGTTCCACATTACAACTCAGTTTTCATTTTTGGCCTAATCTTTTTCCCCTATAATTGTTAATTCTCTACTTTTTGGGATGTATGAGTTTGAAATGTGGTTTAAGTGATTAAAACATGAATTTTTGCTGCAGATAGAACTTGACAGTGTAACAGGAAAACTATTTTGGATGAACAAAAATAATTTTAACTTTTTTTCCCCTAGAGAAAAAAATGCTAGAACCGGAAGAGAATGCCTTGTTTGATCTGCCAGGCTATGAGCATGGAGAAGATGAAACATTTCCTCCTTTCCCACCTCCAGCCTCTCCAGAGAGAGGTGGTACAGGAGGTGAACCTGAAGGTCTGCATTGAGTTTTCCTTAATTTTTAATTTTAAAATTATTGTTATTGTTTTGCCATAATAATGTGAATAATTTGGGGCCTTCTGCTTGCTAGGTAGGTGCTCTGCCACGCCCCCAGCCCTACTTTTTTTTTTGGTACTGGGGTTCGAACTCAGGGCTATACCTTGAGCCACTCCACCAGCCCTTTTTTGTGATGAGTTTTTTTGAGATAGAGTCTCATGAACTATTTGCCCTAGCTGGCTTTGAACCAAAGTTCTGATCTCTGCCTCCTGAGTAGCTAGGATTACAGCTGTGAGCCACTGGTGCCCAGCTCTTGAGACAGTCTTGCATGTGTCCCCATGTTCAGTTATTTGTCAGTCAGTTTAGAAATAATACATTATGTAACTGAGGCTTAAATTATTTAGTACTAAATCTTGGTCTATTTCACTAGAGTCAGGGAGTGGAGCACCTGTTCCTGTTCCTCCAAAGAGAACTGTTAAAAGGAATCTACCCAAGCTGGATGCTCAGAGGTACATAAATTTACTACTTTATTATACATTTATACATTTTTTTTTTAACTGGTGAGACTGGAATTTGGACTCAAGGCTTGCAAAACAGGCACTCTAGCACTTGAGCCACACCTTCAATTTTTTTTTTTTTTTTTTTTTAAAGAAAGAGCGTTTCCACACCTCCAATTGATTTTGTTCTGGTTATTTTGGAGATGGGAGTCCCAAGAACTGTTTGTCTGGGGTGGCTTTGAACCTTGATGCTCCTGATCTCAGCCTCCCAAGTAGCTAGGATTACAAGCATGAGCCACCAGTGCCTGGTTCATATATACGTTCTCTCTCCACCATTGTTTTCTAATGTTATAAGCTTTTGGATGTAATGATTTGGGGATTAGATATTTCTGTAAACATTTTTTTTTTTCAGCTCAGGAGAAAATATTTTTTCTTCTTAGTCTTTATTTTTTTGGTAGCACTGCACTTAGAAATTGGCCTCATACTTGCTAGGCAGGTGCCCTTACCACTTGAGCTACTCCACTCAAGGTGGGTTTTTCAAGATAGGGTCTTGCAAACTATTTGCTATGCCTGGGGTTGGCTCCAACCACAATTCTTCTGTGATCTCTGCCTCTTGAGTAGTTAGGATTACAGGTGTGAGTCACTAGCACCTGGCTATGGTTTCAGTTTTAACATTACTAGAAATCTTGAGGCTGATGGAGTGGCTCAAGTGATAAGAGTGCCTACCCAGCAAGCATGAGGTTCTGAGTTCCGCCAAAAAATGTTTTTTAAATTAAAAGAAATCTCAAAATTGAAATCTGTTTGTATTCACAGATTAATTTCAGAGAGAGGGCTTCCAGCCTTAAGACATGTGTTTGATAAGACAAAATTCAAAGGTAAAGGTCATGAGGTAAGAAATGTCTGGTTTTATTTTTTTTTATTTATTTTTTATTTTTTTTATTTTACTCATTCATTAATTTTGCAGTTCTGGGAATGGAACCCAGAACACTCTACAGTTACCACTGAGCTACATCCCCTGCTGTAGTTTTTATATTAGACTTTTGGTTTTTTTTAAATTGTAGTAAAACATGGTCTTTTATCCTGTTCTTGGGAATCTCTGATAAATTTATTGTCAGTGCTGTTGTTAATTATCATATCTCTTGAGAAAGCTGTTGTGTAGAAAAGGTACTACTTGAACAACTAAAAAGCCTTGTGGAGTCTCATTTTTGTCACTGTATATAGCATGTTGTTCCCCTCCCCCTGCACTGTATGTAGTATGGCTTTAGGAAAATTATCTTAGTCTCAAAGCCTGAGTTTGTACTTTATAATTTAGAGAAATAAAATTTACAGAGATTCTACCTGTTTTGACCAGGTATAGATCTCTAGGACATGGCACAGTGCCTCGTTTTTAATAGGTGTCAGTAAAGTTTTGTTGAAAAATGAAGACATTTAAAAATTGACAATCACTGTACAGATGGAAATTTTTAAGATTCAGTTATCTTTGAATCATGTGGGGCTATAGATAAAGTTTTTGGCATTTGACTTTTTTTTTTTTTAATATAGAGCTTTACAGTTTTAAGTGTTTCATATATACTCTCCTTTAAATTTCAACCTGTGGGGTAGGGGTTCATCTCTTTATCTAGTAAAGGAAACTAAGTGTTAAGAGTTTTAAGTGACTAATGCCAACAAGTAAAGCTAAGCCTAGATTTGCATTTTATAACCCTTCTAGAATAATGCTACTACAACAGTGAATACCATTTAGCTGTGCTATGTAGCATAATTTGGAAGGAGGAAGAGACTGGAGGCAGACTGTAAGTCAGGCTGTTGTACTGTCAGTGATTGAAGTGATACTAGCCTGGATAGAGCAATAGTAGATTGGGAACAACATATAGAACATGTAGATAATTGGATATAGGAAGGTAAAAAGGGAAAGCCAAAAATAATCCCAAGATTTCAAACCTGGGAGGCAGCAAAATTGCACATTTACTCAACTTCAGTGCACATGAAAATATAAGCCTGAGTTCTGTTTTGCCATGAAACTAATCATAAATCAAGATATCTAAAAACATATCCAGAGCTGGAAGTATGTCGGTGTGTCTTTCCTTTTTTTTTTTTTGCAGTACTGGGGCTTGTACTAAGCCTTCATCTTGAGCTACTCCACCAAGCCCTTTTTTGTGAAGCTTTTTTTTTTTAGAAATAGGGTAGCTAGGATTACAGGTGTGAGCCACTGGCACCCAGCTCTGGAGGTGTGTCTTAAGTAGTAGAGTACCTGCCTAACAAGCTTGAGGCCCTAAGTTCAAACCTCAGCACCAATAAAACCAAACAAAAGACATCCAGTTCAGTTAATTCATTGCCGTTGTTGAAATTTTCAGCTAGGAGTGGTGAATTGGTGCTTTAAGTTTATGAGGTCTAGATCATGTTCATAGCCTGCTATTGAAATAAGTAAACTTACCTCCTACAAAGGCGTGTCTTTGGTTCCATGTCTTTGGACACGTAAGAATTGGAGGCAAAGAAATGTGGTTGTGGAGAAATCTGGGGCCAGCTTGCTCCCCGCAGGCTCAAAATCAACCATACCACATAGAAGAAGAAAACCAAAATAAGTAAACTTTACATGAAGAACATGAATTTTGTGTTTCTTCAGTGGGCCAGGGTATACTCTGAGACAGTTTAGCTATTAGCTATTCTTCTGTACTTTTCCCTTACTATTTGCTCTTAACATTTTCTCACAATATTGAATTCTCACTGCTTTTTTTTCCTCCATATATGACTTGGAACTTACTATATTTATATATTAGAATTTCAAATATAGAGAGGTATTGTAGTTTGAGATTGTGTAAACTGTTCTTTAAGTCTGGTACTTTGCCCTTGGAATTTCTGAATATATTCTTAGTGTTCAGAATTCTCAATGCTTTATTATATATATGTGATTTAGGGACCTGTCATAGTTTTAGTTACTCCTGAAGGATACCTTGACATTTTATTAAAGCTTATTTTGGGGTTTTACTTTATACTTCTGAAAGACATGTATATTTATTACCTTTTAACTATCAGTTTTTTGTTTTGTTTTGTGTTTTTGGCAGCACTGGGGTTTGAACTCAGGGCCTCACGTTTGCTAGGCAGGTGCTCTACCACTTGAGCCACTGCTAGGCCTTATTAGGTCTTTGTGCTGGCCTTTTTTCCTCTGATTTTTAAAGATCTGTGTCCAATACTCTTTTAGACTACAATCCTCCAATCCTTAGTAAATATATTTTTAAAAAATTTTTCTTCTAAAAGTTTTTCAACCTTAGAAATATGACACCGTGACTTTGGCATAGCTTTTGAGTTCTAGAATCTGCTGACAGGGTTGGTTGTGAGATTGAGTCTTCTGTTTAGCATTTTTATTTTATGTGCCAGGCTGAAGACTTGAAGACACTAATCAGACACATGGAGCACTGGGCACATAGGCTATTCCCCAAACTGCAATTTGAGGATTTTATTGACAGAGTTGAATACCTAGGAAATAAAAAGGAAGTTCAGGTAAGTGTTGTGATTATCATGAATGTCATTCACAATGCTAAATAGTACAAGGGTAGATTTAGTTGATACTAAATTGCTATCTGGGGGTCTTCATCTTGAACTCTGTCCTGGTAAAGAGGAAACTTAATAGTAGTTACTTGAAGAACAAGTCTATATGAACTAAATGAGTAAGTAATCATTCCCCTTTCTAACATTATCAATGAAAGTGTAAAAATATCTTTTTATTTTCAGACCTGTTTAAAAAGAATTCGACTTGATCTCCCTATTTTACATGAAGATTTTGTTAGCAATAATGGTAATTATTTAAGTTTACTTGCCTTATAACAATTTCGTTTTTAGAAATGGATCTAGGTGGAGCAGATAGTATTGTAAGACTGAATTCTTAGCCTGTGTTGTGTAAGTACAGTTAAGAGGAACAAATTTAAAAAGTTTATATGTTTAGAATGTTGTATGTGAAATTTGTTGCTTAAAGACATGGTTGTAGTGCTATTAGACATGTTGTAAAAATATATTTAGCTACAGAATATGAGCTTTTGAGAACTGTTGACCCACTGATCCTTTATAGTGCTTGTTAATGCAAGTATATGTCAAGATACAGTGTGTACATAAATATATACCATTAGAAAAAGTGGCTTTGGAAAATTATAGGTAGAGTTTTAGGTGGAAGAAAGTTTGCATTTCACTCCAAGTGCAGATCCTGAATACAGGACTTGAGTAAGACTTCAGTGACTGTTCCTGGTATTGATTGCATTTGTAGATGTACAATGCAACCATAGACAGTCACACACATCAAAACAGATGGTTCCTGCCGACAGGATCTGTATAGAAATCAGATTTTCTGTGCGATGGCTCCATACATGTTTGTTTTTGTTTTTTTTTAACTTTTAGATATGGTAGGCAATAGAAGTACATATAAAAATCCTCCAGTCATTTATGAGATTTAATTAATGTAGGATTTTAATTTTTTGGTAAGATGTATTTACTAATGGTATATGAATTAGTGTATATTTAAAAATGAGTTATTATATTATTAAATATCAGAGTCTATAGCACTGGGGTGGTTTGTTTATTTAGCAGTATTTTTTAATTGCCCACTGTATGCTAATGGTTCAAGGGTAAAGGATGAATAAAACTAAATCCCTAAATTTATAGACTAACAGACTGGAGAATGAGTCAGTCATGTAACATCACCAATAGTATGACAGGTGCTATATTGAGATGTGTGAGTAGGGCACAGGGTCTGGTGCAAAGGAGAGCAGTTATATTACTTAGTGAGGGGAAAGATTCATATCAGAGTTATTGTAAGTACTTTGAATGCTAAGCAGGAGAAGTCAGCCAGAGGTGACTTTAGATAGAGAGATCCACTTGTGTATAGGCATAAATTAACATGAATCATTCATGCTGAACCTATAGTAGGCCTAAATCAGAGACCTTGTTTGTTGTTAAATATATTTTCTTTGTACTTTAACCTTTTTGAAGACCACAGAATCAGAAATCCTTTGAGTATTTTCTTTGTTTATTTATGTACATGTATTTATGTACTGATGATATATAATGTACACTTTTTATTCTTACCAAAAATACATTTACATTACTGTTTGTTTGTTTTGGCGCACTGGGCTTTGAACTCGGGGCCTCATGCTTGCTGGGCTGGCATTCTTACCACTTGAGCCACTCCACCAGCCCTACTGTGTAGTTTTAAAGTAAGATGGGCTGGGAATATAGCTCAGTGGTAGAGTATTTGCCTAGCGTGGCCAGGACCCCGGGTTCAATCCCTAGCACTCCGAAAAAAGAAAAAAGAAAAAGAAATGCAAGAGCAAGGTGATTGATTGTCCTATTGAATAATTCTTTAAAAAAAAAACTCGGGGCCTCATGCTTGCTGGGCTGGCATTCTTACCACTTGAGCCACTCCACCAGCCCTACTGTGTAGTTTTAAAGTAAGATGGGCTGGGAATATAGCTCAGTGGTAGAGTATTTGCCTAGCGTGGCCAGGACCCCGGGTTCAATCCCTAGCACTCCGAAAAAAGAAAAAAGAAAAAGAAATGCAAGAGCAAGGTGATTGATTGTCCTATTGAATAATTCTTTAAAAAAAAAACTTGTGGTAATACTTATTGATGCAGTGATTTGAAAGTATGATTATAGATTAGTTTTTTTTCCAAGTCTTGGTTTTATGGCACAAAGATATATCAGTCCAAATGGAAATACAGTCTCATTAATTGCACTTAATAGTCTTGGCATGGCTGGGTGCAGTGGCTCAAACCTATAATCCTGGCTGCTTGGGAGGCAGAGATTGGGAGTATTGTGGTTTGAGGCTAGCCCAGGCAAAAAGTTCGGGTGACTTCCTGATTAATAGTGTGCATGAGAAAGACACAAATAGGATTACGGTCCAGGCTGGACTGGGCATAAAACAAGACCCTATTTCAAAAATAACAAACACAGAAGGGGCTGGTTAAGTGGCTCAAGTGTGCCTATCTAATTTCATCTGTCTTTTTTCTTTTTATTTATTTATTTATCTGGTTTTTGGGGTTTTTTTTGTTTTGTTTTTTGGTATAACTAGGGTTTGAACTCAGCCTCATGCTTGCAAAGCAGGTGCTCTACCACTTGACTCACACCTCTAGTCCATTTTGCTGTGGTTATTTTGGAGATGGGGTCTCTCAAACTGAGGTCCTCCAGATAGCCTCCTGAGGAGCTAGAATTACAGGTGTGAGTCACTGGCGCTTGGCCATTTTTATATTTTTAACAAATATCTACTTAAGTCACTCCTATGCTCATAGCTTTCCAGTGGCTCCTATTTCATTCAAAGTAAAAGCCAGAATCTATCTTCTTCTGTATCTTAATTCATTCTCCTTCTCTCTCTTTTTCACTTCCCTTTTTTTATTGTTTTAGCCACACTTGCCTTCTATTTCTTAAACATTCCAGGCCCATTTCTATCCTAAGGCTTTTGTACTTTGATTCACTGCCAGCAACACTGTCTTCCCCATTTCTCATCAAATCTACACAGCTAACTTTCTTAGCCCTCTTCAAACTGTGCTCAAATGTCAGCTCAGAAGCTGAGCATGGTGATTCGTACCTGTAATTCAGTACTTGGGAGGCTGATGCAGAAGGATTGTGAGTTTGAGGCCAGCCTGAGTTTCATAAGTTCCAGGACAGTGTGGGCTATATAGTAAGACCCTGTCACAAAAAACTAAGTAAAAATTAAAAAAAAAAAACCTACCAACTCAGCATATTCTGAGTTGTAACTACACTGTAACTACACTGTTACAGTTGCACCTTCCCATTCCTGATTCTCTGTGGTGTTTTCTTTTTTCATAGCACTTATTTGCCTTTAATTATTTTGCTCTTATTTATCTTTTAGTTTCTCTATACCAAAATACCACATTGAATATTTTTTACTTTAGTTGTGTTGCCACAATTGTCTATGAATGTTGGCAGTGAATAGGTTTCCTGTGTAGTCCTCTCTTTTTTTTTTTTTTTTTGGTGGGACTAGGGTTTGAACTCTTGCAAATCATGCACTCTCTGCGTGAGTCACACCTCCAGTCCATTTTTTCTGGAGATGGTCTGGCCTTGAACTGTGATCCTCTGATCTCGGCCTCCCAAGTATGTAGGATTATAGGTACGAGCCAATGGTGCCTGGCAGTAGTGTCCTCTAATTTTTTTCTTTTTTTTTCCTGTGCTAGGGTTTGAACTCAGGGCCTACACCTTGAGCCATTCTACCCCCCCTTCCCCTTTATATTTTCCCCTTTGGTACTGAGGTTTGAACTGAAAGCCTAGACCTTGAACCACTCCTAACTTTTTTTTTTTTTTTTTTTAATTTTTGTGATGAGCTTTTTCAAGATAGGGTTTGCAAATAATCTTCCTGGGCTGACTTCAAACCACAATCCTCATCTCTGCCTTCTGAGTAGCTAGGATTACAGATGTAAGCCACCCATACCTGGCAAGGAGACTCATCTGTTTCATAATTGGTTCTATTGCTTGTCTCAGCGTCTCCAGCTCTGTTTTCTACTTGTAGTCTGTCACTATTTCATCATCAAGGAATGCATCATACTTTCTTGCTACATTTTTTTTTCCAAGTCAGGAAGGAAAACTGTTTGGCTCTTTTACTTTTAAGAAACTACAAAAGAGGGTTTGGTTGAAAAGGGCTGGATGTATCATGAATTTTATATCTCAGAGTAGTTGTGAAGGTTTGTCTTCATGTTTTAAATGTTTTTCTAATTATGATTTTTTTATACTATATTTAGCTAATATCTCAAGGTACAGTGTATACCTGGAATGGCAATAGTACATGTAAATTCATATTTTGAGTGATGATTTAAGTTTTTTACTATTTTGTCAGATCTTCTGGGATTTATCATTTTTTAATCCCATAATGTGAATGACATACAAAAAAGGTGACTTCTGAGTTCAGCCATTTTCTTCTTTCTTTTTTTTTTTTTTCCCCTTGGTTTGACTGGCTCGCAAAGCAGGCATTCAACCACTTGAGCCACATTTCCAGTCCAGTTTTTTTGAGTTTTTCCCTTTTCTTTTTGCAGTACTAGGGACTGAATCTAGAGCCTTGTGCATGCTAGGTAAACACTCAACCACTGAGCTATATCCCCAGCCCCATTTATTTCTTGCTTGTGCTTTTATTATTCTGCCTGCATGTATTTTGTTATTTTGCAGAATCTTTTAAAGCTACCATGTATGCATTTTGTTGGGAATGACTTGGGTTAAAACAAAGTAATATATAGTTTACTTGACGAGGCAATCAGAAACACCTATATATTACAGTATGCTGAAATTTGAAATTTAAAAATGAGTGACAACCCAGTTCTCCCATTCTTCAACTCACAGACCAGACAGTAATCCTATAAATGGACAAATGGTCCTTGTTTTGTTTTGCAGTACTAGGATCAAACCCAGGGCCTTGTGCATGTTGTTAGGCACTCTACCACTGAGGTACATCCTGAGCCCCAGTCCTTCTTTTAAGTGTTAGTAAAACTTAGTTTTTTTTCTTAATTTTTAAATGAAGTGGTACTTTCCATACCACTCTGGATAATTTTTGAGGCATCCTTGATGGAGATAACTGGTGCACCGGAATTTAACACTAGCTGGGCCTGGTGGTACATGGCTATAATCACAGCATTAGGGAGGCTGAAGTAGGAGGACTGACAGTTTGGGGCCAGCCTGGACTACATGGTGGGTTCAAGGCCAGGCTTGGTTACCTGCTCAGGTCCTGTCTCTAAATAAATAAATAATACTGATAATTTAGAGAGCACTTAATTTTTTAAAAAATTAACTTGGAAATGTGTCCATGTATCTCCATTTTTTTTTATATTTGTGTCTCTTTTGTCCTATAAAAGATGATGGCCTAGCTGGCTGCTGGTGACTCATCTGTAATCCTAGCTACTCAGGAGGCAGAGATCAGAAGGATCACAGTTCAAAGCCAGACCCAGGCAAATAGTTATCAAAGTCCTATTTTGAAAATATTCAAGGTGTAGGCCCTGAGTTCAAACCCCAGTGCTGGAAAAAGAAAAAAAAAGATGATGGCTTATGTAAAATTACTACTGTGTACCATATAGACAGTACGGCAAGCTTTTCAAATGTGTTGGTCTAGTGTAGAATAAGACTGTTCGTGGACTGGGGGCATGGCACAAATGTAGAGTACTTGCCTAGCAAGCAAGAGGCTCTGAATTCAGTCCCCATACCGCCAAAAATTAAGGTTTTGATTCTTTATGTTGTTATTGACCCAAGCATGAATTAGTTCATTCATATTTTAAATAATATTTCCATTTGACTAAACCTGCCTCTTTAAAGTGATTTATAAATATTCTTTTACTTGTTGGAATCAGGTATGTACTTGGAATATTCTCATACCTCATACTTGTTTTTATAGGTCAGGTCCTTTGCCACCTTTTATGTTTTTCATTAAAAAATTGTATAAGCTCTTTCTCTAATTCATCTAACACTACAGATTTACTAACTTTCCTTTCTACCACAGATGAAGTAGGGGAAAATAATAACCTTGATGTAACTGCTGCTGAACTAGATCCCTTTTTGACAAATGCATCTGAAAGTGAGAAGTTTGCTTCTGAGTCAAGTAGAAGCCTAACAGAAGAGCAGCAAAAAAGAATTGAGAGAAATAAACAACTGGCCTTGGAAAGAAGGCAGGCAAAGCTACTGAATAATAGTCAGTCCCTAGAAAATGGTAAATTTTATGCTTATTTTTATGAGCTACCATTAACATGTAGAGGGCATGTTAGAAATTTTAACTTCTCTGCTATCCCCTAAAATAAAATACCTCTAGGTATAGAAAAGTGTCATACTGGGTTTATGTATATTTGAGAGAGAATGTGTGTATGAGCTATTTGGAGTCCTCAAAAAATATATGAGCCTAAGATTGTTTTCTGGATAGTTGAGTAAATCTTAAGATTCTGAGTCCTTCAAAAGTATATTCTTTCTTGACATGTGACATACATTTAGGATCACAATTATGAAAATTTATTTTCATACTTTCATAACAAACATACTGTCTTCTGTATGTACTGAGGATTATAGAGCCACTTGTGCTTGTATGACAGACATTGGTACTAAAATTCTTTTTATTGCATTGTGGCACTTTTACTGTGAGCTGCACTTTTGGTGGTCATTTGCTTATCTGTAGCATCCCTTTCCAGCTTAGAAAGGTGCCTTGAAATTTGCTATTTTTGTGGTGTACACACTTGTAATCCCAACACTGGGGAAGCAGAGGCAGGAGGATCAGAGCTCAAGTCCAACTTGGGCTACATAACACCCCTCCTCCCAAAATGTGGTTTTTATTTTCATCACTCATCCATTTCGATGAAATAGGGCACATTTAGTTTGGTATGGTTGTAGACTTATTCATCCATTTAGGTGCCTTTTACTAATGGATGTACTCTTTCACTGAATGTATTCTCAGCCTAAAATAGACTGTGGGTTCAGAACCCAGATAAGCAAGTTTGTTAGAACTGTATTTTAAAAGAATTGTAAGTTTAGGAGCTGGGCATAATGCTTGCATACCTGTAATCCCAGCACTTGACATGTTGAAGCGGGATGATAAGGAATTTAGGGCCAGCCTGGACAAGTATAGTGAGATACTCTGAAAAACCAAAAACTAAAAAAAAAAATTACAAGTTTGATTTGAATGAAGTAAAGCAAGATTGCACATCTTTCTCAATTTGCAATCATTTGTTTTCCTTTTGAAATGGAAAATAAGAATTATAAGTACATACCATGTTGTAAAACAAGTTTCACCCAATAACAAAATTCTTGAATGAGTATTGTATTGTGCCTACATTTTCATGATTTTTTTTTTCAGTTAAAATGAATTTAATTTTTACCTTTACAAATGGATATGGCATTAGTACCATGTGAAAAATTACATGACGATATAATTATTGATGGTAGTGGCTTCCTTTCCATCTCAAAATATAGCTGTCAATAAGTATTTGAGGCTCACCTTTTTTTTTGGTGATACTGGGGCTTGAAGTCTGGGCTTACACCTTGAGCCACTCAGTATATAATAGGTTTGATTTCTACTAACCTAAGTTTTTGAGGAGATTTGTGTTTATGAGGTAAGGTTGGACTAGGTGCTTGTAATGAGTAATGATTTCTCTTGTAGACACGTTAATGAATACACCCAGAGCACAGACAGAAGAGGTTTTTACTGGGGAGGACCAAGAGGAAGGAGTGCCAGTGGATTAAATCAAAGACATACTGTGGGACGATCCATGTAAGAGAAGATAACATTCTGTCCATCTGTAAATGAATCAGAGCAACTAAAAGTAAGAGGAAACACAGACTGGGACCATTCCTCCTTAAAATGTAGCAATGGTAACCTATTTCATCTCAAACTTTTTACTGAGGTTAAGGAAACCTCCACTAGGAGAAAATTGTGTATCTATTTAATGCTGTTCCTGGCGAGTTTGGGATTAACCTGTATATTTTTTGATAGAATCTTAGTGGTACAAACATTTGTATATTTGTTGTAAAATTTTGGTATTTTATTTCTATAATTGTTTGCTTATTAACTCTTTAGTTTAAGTCCTATTGAGTGTTTAATATAGGCTATGACTTTTGTACAATGATTAATAGTTAATAAGCAGTTTTTGCTAGTGTGCGTTGAATATTGAATACTTTGTTTTCACTACATTGGTAATGTTTTTTATGTAAATGTGTATTGGCTATTTCTTTTTATAAAGAAGTAAAAATAATTATTTTATAAACTGTCTTTGAGGCTTTGTGTAAGTTTCTCATCACAAACCAGATCTGCAGTTTATACTTCTGGTAAATATTCAAGGTTTTTGCCTGTATTTTGAAGAGTCACTTTAATATATAAAAGGTTACATGAAAGGCTGAGATACTGCCTGTCATCACAGCTGCCAGGAATTAAAAAATGCTCCTTGGCATCTTTCTGACAAGCTGGAGAGAGACTTATGGAGTGCCCCAAGGAACCCAGAGCTCCCAGGGAAGATTCACAGGAAAGGCCTTGTAGATGGTAGAGGAGCTTCCAACTATTGGGAAGAACATGTTGAAGGACACAAAAGTAAAAATTTTAGGAAATAAAAAAGATTTGGGAATGACTATGAGACTAAGAAGTGATAGGGACAGATGGTGAGGGGACCTGGTTGGAGTTCTTGCTTGTCCCACACACACATACACTGAAGTTTGAACTTGGCCTACATCTTGAGCCATTCCACCAGCCCTTTTTTTTTGGTGAAGGATGTTTTCAAGATAGGGTCTCGTGAACTGTTTGCTCGGGTTGGCTTCTAACCCTGCTTCCTGTTCGTTGTCTCCTGAGTAGCCACTGGTGCTTGGCTGAGTTTTTGCTGTTTTGCCATCTTGGTTAGAGATAAGAAAGCATCATGTTGACAGGTTAAAGGTCCAGTGCTTGATAGGAGATTCTCTTGGAGGGGAGAGAAAAGACCTAGCTAGTTTTTACAGACTGGGAAAGGGGTTATCTTTTGTAAGAAAGACTTGTATTCACAAAGGAAAGCTCTCTGACCTCTTCCCCTAGGCCTTGATCGTGCTGCAGTGGCCTCTATCTACAAAGCCACAATTGGCCAACATCTTATGCTCAGAAGGTTTGAGCATAGGCGTGGGGAATAACAAAGATGGTTTGGTTAAGAAGCCAGGAAGTTGGGTACAGAAGAACATACGGGTTATGGGTTTGCTGGGAGCTGCCATAGTGATGAGCATGGGGCATGTACATCTAGAGGATTGTGATTTAATGGTCCCTGGGGGACCTGGTCAGACCTTTATATTTATGAACTAGATTTTAGGAGAGGACTGGGGAAAGAGTACTACTTGAGCCACTCCATCAATCTCCCCTCTTCCCTCCCAATTTTTAATTGAAAAAAAAAAAAAACCCATGTATTTTGAAATAACTGATTTGAGACAAGATCTGGTTTATTAAAGAGACTAATAAACTGCCTTGCGGAGCCTGCATTCACTATATATAAGTAGTGACCTAGTTAATTTCATTTAAGGCAACTTCAGTGATGTATGAGATCATTGTACACATGAAATATCCACCCAGTCTCAAAACTAGAGCACCGACTGACACAGAATTAGACGTTGAATTTGGCAAGATGGTAAAACATGTAAGACAAAATTATCTTAATGAAGTGTTTCATATTCCATAATTGTTTGAAACATCCAGGAGAGCTAGGTCTCTTATCTCTTCCAGAAGTGTGTATAGACTTCTTCCCTTTGTTTGGCGATATTCTTGATACTCTTCCTCATTGACCTTTACTTTTACTTCTTGAGCAAGCTGAGCTTCTTCCACAGATCTGGTTACTTCTTTCACTAACTCACTCTTCAGCAAGAGGGAACTCTGATGAGAAAGTTCTGTGTTTGGTGTCATGTATGGTTTGTTGCTTATTATTTCAAGCCTGATTGTATCAGAATGGCAACGCAGGGCCTGAACAGATATTCTTACCTATCACAGAGGAGAAAATACATACTACTAAATCACATTCTTCGTTCTTATGTTGAAATAATACTGAATTTAGAAACACTTACTGTCACATGGTCAAACAAATGGAATGTTGTCGATTCCCCTCCTGTTGTGGTAGAGGTGATTCTGTTTTGAAATCGTTGAAGAGATCCTGGTTTCCATTGAGAATGGCTATCTGGGCCACAAGAGATCACTAAACCATCTTTATTTTTTAGATAAGCAGCACCTTTAATCCCAAACCTGAATTGTTGTCAGAATAAAAATCCAGAGAATATATTCTTAACATAAACAATTTATATGCTTATCTACAGTGCTAGTTTAATTCTATATTTTTTTTAAAAATCACTTTTCGTATGATTTACATCCTATGATTTACTGAAGCAGATGGGAATAAAAAGTACTTTGCTAGATAAGAAAGTAAGATCCTAATAGTACATATCCACACAATTGCTTCCTTCATTTCATAGTTATATTTTTTTTTTTTTTTTTGATGCTGGGTATCAAGTCAGGGCATCACAGACTACCACTGAGCTACACTCCCAGTCCTGTGATTTCTTATTAACCATTGCCTTAGATATAACATACCTCGGTATAAATACAAGCACCCCATTTGTTCTAATTGAATAGATAACTCCATCAGATATGCAGCGCTGCTCAGTTTCAGGGTCTTTGTCTTTAAAGTACATGCACTGGAAGAGTTCAGTAGACTGCTTCTGAGAATGCTGCGCTGCCTGTAGGAACAAGGCCAAAGTGTTAAGCAGATGTCAATGACAGGCCCAGAAGAAACCCGAAGTTCACATTCCCATAGAAACAACACTTTTAAAAGCCTGGATTCCATAAAACTATTAACGAACATAATTGTGTATTAGGAATTAAATCAGCAGTAGGTGTGGCTCAAGTGGTAGAGCACCTGCCTAACAAGTGCAAAACCCTGAGTTCAAACCATAGAACTGTGAAAAATAATTAAATCAATTTTTGTAGGTGCTTAATCATCCAGTATCAACCCTTCAAAAATGTCTTAGAAAGTGAATTCTTTATAAAATGAAACATCTCTAGTTTGTCAGATTAGAGGCCAGCATATTGGGACATGTCCAGTTAAAAGTATCATACATGTCCTGCCTTTCTAAATCTGTCCTACCAAAATCTTTGGTGGGAGTGTAAAGTAAAATTACTGTGCACTCAGTAATGTGCATCAGAGTTTTGGCATGGTGGTGGTAAACTGCATTGCTTAGAACACTTCTGCCCAGACAGAACTTTCTGTAATGATGAAAATGCTGTTACCCAATAGTGACACTATGGTGCCACAGATGGTGGCAGGTGAAATGTGGCTAGTATGTCTGAGGAACTGAATTTCTAATTAATTTAAATAGCTACCATGGCTAGTGGCAACAATACTGTACAAAAGAGAATTAGAACATTGGACATGGACAGTTTTCTTTAACATCTAGGTTGTTTCTAATCTGCATCACCCAGGGGTCTAGCTCTGTGCTATGCAATCTTTTTTACTTTATTTTCTTTGGTGGTACTGGGGGTTTCAACTAAGGGCTTTGTGCTTGCTAGTCAGGTACTCTGCCACTTGAGCCACACCCCAGCCCTTCTTGCTTTGCTTTTTGAGGCAGGGTCTCACTTTTTGCCCAGGCCAGCCTAGATAGCAATACTCCTATTTTATGCTTCCTGCCACTGCTGGGATGGCTGGCTCGCACCACCATGCCCAGCTCTTTTCCACTGAGATGGGGACTTGCGAACTTTTTGCACAGGGTTGGCCTGGAACCATGATTCTCCTCATCTCAACCTCTCAAGTAGCTAGGATCACAGGCATAAGCCACTTACATCTGGCTAGGTATGGTACATTTCTATAGAAATGTTATCACTGTCTAGAATTTTTCTTTTGACGATCCTAGGGTTTAAACTCAGGGCCTTATGCTTGCTAAGCAGTTGCTCTCTCACTTGAGTCATGTCCTTAGCCCTAGGGTCTCTTGCTTTTTCACAGGCTGGCTTTGAACCTCAATCCTCCTAAGCTATAGTTCCTAAATAGCTGGAATCACAGGTGTGCACCACCACACCTGGCATTTTAATGGCTGCCTTGGTGGTACTCTTTCTCCATATGTTGCTTGAACTTTTTTTTCCTTTTTTAATGCTGGAGATTAAAGCCAGGGCCTTGCACATGCTAAGCAAGCACTCTACCACTGAGCACCTCTAGCCCTTTCTTAAAAATGTAAAGATAAAGTCTTGTTATGTAGATCAGACTGGTCTTGAACTAAAAGACACTCCTGCCAAAGCCTCCTAAGGTGCTGGGATTACAAGTATGCACCACCACACCTGTCATTTGAACCTTTACATTTCTAGCTTTGGGGAAACAAAACATCTAATCTACTAACAAGTCTCCCAATTCTTAGCCCAGAGTGGTGGTGCACTCCTGTTGCCCCAGCAGAGGCCAGTCTGGAGGATCACTTGAACCCCTGAGTTTAGATCGGCCTAGGCAATAGAGTGAGACCTGGTTTCAGAAAAAGTCCCAAATCCACGTAAGTTATGTCACAGCATTGTAAAAGTACTGAGGGCAGTGGTTAGAATAGTTGGACTTAATTTGCTGAACTATATGGATCTTCACTCTGTTATGCAATAAAGCTGATATTCTCTTAAGAGACAGTGGATAAGTGAATTTTAAAATTACTTCTTACTCGGTTTCTGTTGTTGATATGTCTGCATAATTCCTCAAGATCTTTGTTGCTGAACAAATTTTCTTTAATTTCCACTTTCTTGTCTTTTGAAATGGCTGCCATTAGTAGTCGGTGCACTACAATATCTGAGTATCTTCTTATTGGAGAAGTAAAGTGGGTATATTTATCTAATGCGAGACCTTCAAAAAGAAACCAAAACGTCAAAATAACAACTAGAAATACTTTTTAAATGACATGCTCCAGGTTAGGAGCACCTCACCGTAATGACCGAGCTCCTCCTCCGCATGCGAACCGGTGGAGAAGTAGAGCGCGTTTGACATGGCCTGCGTAGCCATGGAGCGCAGCAGCCTGTTCACCACTGGATCGCTGGGGTCCTTGGCCTTATCCAGAGAATCAGCCAGCGTTTTGTTGGACCTGACAAAGGAGAACCTTTATGCAGTCCCCAAAGGTAATTTACAAGTCAGCACTCTAAGAGGAGCCCTGTACTCACTGGTTTGAATTCCTTCATCTACCAGCAGTTAAATTTATTTTGGACATTTCAGAAGCAACTCTTCTCTGTTATAGAAACCTAGCTTGCTTTTAAGGCTGAAACTCAGAATTTAAATAAATTTCGTACATAGGAAAGGGTAATGTGTTGAATAATACTAGGTTAAGTTAATGCTGGGCTCTAGTGGGTGGGTAAGTTGAATTCTTGACTCACTTAACCTTAAGCATCCTATACAGGTGGAAAAAATGAGCCTTTTTCTTGTTTTTTTTAATATCAAGAACTGTTCGAGGGCTGGCAGAGTGGCTCAAATGGTATAGTGCCTGCCTAGCAAGCATGAGGCCCTGAGTTCAAACCCCAATACTGCTCCCATACACACACAAAAAATTATTGAGCCAGGGGCCCCTCCTCTGCCCCTTGGTTTTTCAAGACTGTCTCACTCTAGCCCAGGCTGGCCTTGAACTTGTGATCCTTCTGCCTCACTCTCCCAAGTGCTGGATTACTGACGTTCGCCACCATGCCTGGCTGATCCTTTTTTTTTTTTGGCAGTACTGGGGTTTTGAGCTTAGGGCCCACATCTTAAGCCACTCCACCAGCCCTTTTTTGTGGTCTTGCAAACTGTTTGCCCCGGGCTGGTTTTGAACCTTGATCCTCCTGATCTCTGCCTCCTGAGTGGCTAGAGTTACAGGGGTGAGCCACCGGCGCCCAGCCTGGCTGATTGCTTTTTAATGAGTAAAGTATCCTGGAGAGGGGAACAAACGGCTCATTCTATGGAGGGATGGTATAAATTCACCACTGGTGTAGAGAGGGACAGGCTGTTTTCAAAGTACTGAAATGGATAGGAGTACTGCTTGGTATTTGCCTATGGGGATAGATAAAATTAAATCAAAGGTAACAGATTCCTTAGTGGCCAAAATTAAGCCTAAATAAACTTGCTTTACTTTGAAGTCTCCATACATGATGGTAAATGAAGAGAGTCAAAAAGTTTTCTTTTGTTCAAAGGTCTTCCTGTCACGTTTTAAGAATGATCATGTCATGAAGGAAATAAATGCACGGCACTCCCTGCCATTCCTCTGCCCCCTCAAAAGAGGATTACCGAGTATCTATGAAGAAGCCTTTTGCTTTCGCACATTCCCGAAGCTCAGAAAAGAACTCCTGGTGTGGAGGAGGGTGTTGGCGCAACAAGGCCTGATGAGGGAAGCTCTCCCAGATCTTCTTGGCCACCCAGTGATTGGCCAGGATCATGCATTCAGCCACCGTCTCATGGACCTCCAGGGGTTGCTTGGGGATGAGGTCATGAATGTTCTTTCTTTCATCAAGCTGCACTCGAACCTCCACGCCTTCCAGTTCCAGGGCACCACAGCGGTCTCTCTTTGCTCGGACATGACGAGCTATGTCAGCCAGCTTTGCAATTGCCCACACTAACTCCTCCAGCTTGGCTTGTCGGCTCCGCTCATCTAAGTCTTTGAATTCTGGAATATCATCAACAATGCTGAAGTTTCCGTCCAGTAGCTCCTGGGCTGCTTCATAGAACAGTTTGTAAGCTGACCGAATAATGGTTCTACCATACCATACTTTCTTAATTTCATAAGAGGTTTTATCCAGTTCCCATATGACACTTACAGCATACCTACAAAACCAGTAACATTGGCAACATCACTATTAAGTTCTATTTTGGAAGCAAGTAGAACTTGACTTTAAATGTAACTTGAAAAGAAATGACACTGATACAGGTTTTTGGTCTTAATTTCTCAATCCACCCACCCCACCATAAAATCAAAAAACATTTTAAACTAAAAGTTAGGGTAGATTCTGCTGAGCTTTGAACAAATCTGAAATGAGCTCAACCATAACACTACAAACCCTACCTCACAGGTCTCTGTCTTTGTTAGAATAGCACGTGCTGATAGTCAAGTGTTTAGCTGCCCAAGAAATGAGAAAAAAAAGCCTTTAAAATCCTACAAGATGACAGTTTAAGTTTATTTAGCAAAGAATCATTCTGCCACCAAAACATTTATTCATTTACTTCGGTGGGTGTGGGGTTTGAACTCAGGGAACTTGTGCTTGCTAGGTAGTTGCCCTACAGCTTGAGCCATGCACCAGCCCATTTTTGCTTCAGTTATTTTCCAGCTGGGGTCTCTTGTTTTTGCCAGGGCAGCCTCAGACAGATCCTCCCACCTATGTATCCTCCCACCTATCCCAGTGTAGCTGGGATCACAGAGTGAGCACCACCATGCCAGCTTAACTCTGCCCAGGCTGGCCTTGTACCTCAATCCTCCCCATCTCCATCTCTCGAGGAGTGGGGATTACAGTGGTGAGCCATGGCACCCATCTTAAATATATGTTTGTTAAATGTTTTAGGCAACAATAAAAGCTGGGTGCAGTGGCGTGTGCCTATCATACCATACATAAGAAGATCGTGGTCCAGGTCAGCCTGGGCATAAATGTAGACCCTATTCAAAAACTCCTTAAAGCAAAAAGGACTGGGGATGTGGCTGGAGTGCCTGCTTGGCAAGCGCCAGTACCACCGAAAAAAGAAAACCCAAAAACATACCTGCAACTCGTATTATAAATGCCGGTTTTCCTGATACGTAACTAGTTCTTATAAATGAGTAATAAATCACAAACCCAAATGAGGAATGGGCAAGGAATATGAAGTAGTTCACATAAAAGGTTGTCTAAGTATCCCTAAACATAACTTAAAAACAAAATTTAACGTTACTTACAGGAGGAAAAATGCAAACTAAAACTACGATACCGTTTTTATCTATTGAACTGGCAAAGATAAAATGATATAGCATACTGTGGAGATGAGGCTGTGGGGAAGCAAGCATTTACATGCATTCATGGTGGAGATCTAATTGGTGTAGCCTGTGAGGACGGCATTTTGATTATATTGATCTAAACGTACATGCATGTACCCTTGACACGAATTCCACTTCTGGGAATTTCTCCTTTAGATTTTTAAAATATGAAGTGAGTTATGTTCCAAGGAATTCAGTACAGCTTTGTGATAGCAAAATATTGCTTATCTGTTTTTCATAGATAAGCAACTGTTACTAGTACAGGATGATCTCCAAGGTACCGTTTTTACTTTTAAAAAGGGAAGGTGGCTGTGGGGGCCTGCTTTGCAAGCATGAAGCCCTGAGTTCAAACTATAGTCTTACCCCTCCCCCCGCAAAAAGATAAATAAATAAGGGAAGGTGCTGAACTGTGTGCATGTGTGTGAATAACTGTGGGTGTACAGACAATGCTACCATTCATGGAAACTGGCTTTTTTTTCTGGTGGCACTGGGGTTTGAACTCAGGGCCTCATGCTTGCTTAGGCAGACACTCTACTGCTTCAGCCACTTTACCAGCTCTACTACCATTTGTGTAAAAGAGAAAAATCACCTGTGTATTAAATCCAGAAAGACACACAAGGAGTTGGTAACTGAGAGAAAGTGATAGGAAGAAGCCTGTCAATAAATCTTTTGGAATCTATGAATTTTAGACTATATGATTTTAGTACCTATCCAAAGATAAGCACAAACTTCAAATAAACTCTCTTAAATTCATAATCACGCAAAACAGCTTCAGCCAGGGAATGCATTTACACAAAGCTTTGAGCACTTGTTCCCAGACTTTAGCTGACCTTCAAAAGCTAACAGAGGGAGAAGAGCAGAGAGGAAAGAAGAAAGGAAGGGAAGGGAACGCAGGGGTGAGGAGAGGGGCGGTTAAGCACATTAGAAAGCAGAGAGAGAGAGGCCAGAGTAGGGAACACCAGGTACCTCAGAAGGGCCAAGACAAGCTCGGAAGATAAAAATAATAAACTTACCGATCAACGCCTCCCAGGAGGGAACACAAATCAGCACTGAGGATAGAGGGCAGCATGTCATAGCGCCGATCTGCTAAGTAGTAAGTGGTGGCCCTGTGAATGACAGGTTTGCAGTAACTGACATTGAGCCAGAGCAGAACTGCTGACGCTTGGCTCGGCCAAGGCCTTAGTTTGAATTCTGAAGGCTGCCGATCTTCATAAAGAGCAGCAGACGCACTTGGACTGCTTCCCAGGTGCCTGCTTTGCTAAGTGACTCTGCTTAGGGCTGAACATTCCTCCAATGATGGAAGAAATAAAGTGACACAAATCTTGGTTGTATAAGAAAACTTGGAGTGTAACGATCTAGAACATCTACAAAGTAGAATATTATAACACGAAAATTTAACCCATTTCAATTTAGAAGGAAACAATGTATTGAAAAGTTAAAAAAGGAACTATGAACCAATCATTATTTCAAAAGGAGAAGAGGGCTGGCAGAGTAGCTCAAGGAATAAGAGCACCTGCTTAGCAAGTGTGAGGCCCTGAGTTCAAACCCCAGTGCCACCAAAAAAGAAAAAAGATCCTCGAAAGGAGAAGAGGGGCTGTACTGCAGCTTTTTTAAAGTTTTTTTCCTGGAAGGGATCTTCAGAATTGCACAAACATGAAATCTTTGAACACCTGAAACTAACAGAGGAACAAAACACACAGTCACACATGCACGGTCATTGTGCTGATGTCAAACAGCAGTACCTTGTTCTAGCTTCGACATCGGTGTAGGAATTGGGCAGTACAAAGTGTGTCACATCTGCAATGTGGACCCCAAGCTCCAGGTTGCCGTTCTCCAAAGTTCTGACAGAAAGGGTGTCATCCACATCTTCACAACCTTTGGGGTCAATGCTGAACACAAGGTGAGTTTTCCTCAAATCCTTACGTTTCTGCTCCTCTTCGGGACTCACCTTCCAGGGGTTTTCTGGTGTGTTCACTGGCATCTCACACATCTACACGAAAGGTCAAATATTTAGCAAATCATGCATTACAAGTTTCTGTAAAAATGTACTCAACATTCTCATTGTGACATGTTGAAATTCGCCCAGTCCCAATTTCCTAGTCACATTCTGCATCAACCTAATTTGTTCCTTTTTTTTTTTTTGGTGGGACTGGGGTTTGAAGTCAGGACTGCCCACTTGCTAGGCAGGAGCTCTACCACTTGAATCAGGCCTTCAGCCCAGTTTTTTTTTTTGTGGTGCTGGGGCTTGAACTTAGGCCCTTGTGCTTGCAAGGTGCTCTACCACTGAGCCACTCCACCAGCCCCAATTTTGCTTCTTTTGATCAATAACAATTTATTAGGTGCTTCAGATATGTCATGCACTGGCCTAGATTCTTCGAAGTCAGATTTCAACAGGAAAGACACTTTTTTTTGGGGTGGTACTGGAGTTTGAATTCAGAGCCTCATGATTGCTAGGCAGGTGCTCTACCACTTGAGCCCTTTTTTTAATGATGGATATTTTTGAGATAGGGTCTCACAAACTATTTTCCTGGGCTGGTTTTTTTTTGTTTGTGCATACAAGGCTTGGGTCATTTCTACCCCCTGCCCCCACCCCCTCCCTTACCACCCACTCTGCCCTCTTCCTCTCCCCACCACCCCCTCAATACCCGGCAGAAACTATTTTGAAGAATTTTTTTTTTTTTGGTTGTACTGGGGTTTGAACTCATGGCCTCACATTTGTGAGGCAGGCACTCTACCACTTATTCCATCAGCCCCCTGGGCTGGTTTTGAACCTTGATCATCCTGATCCTTCTGAGTAACTAGGATTACAGGCATGAGCCACCGGTGCCCAGTAGGAAAGACACTCTTGAGAACTTTTGCAATGTGACAGTGTCTTACAACTTCTGCCAACCTTATCACTTATGGGGCAGGAGCAAGAATGAATGGGAGGCTTATGGGAGAACGAAGTATACCCCATTTGCAAAGATGTAGTTGAGCTTTTAATTTAAGTCCTGGAAAAAAGTCAACATGTCCCCAATAACAGAAGCTTATTCCTTAGAGATAATTTACACAGGACTGATCTAGGGCATTTTCTCTCCATTGCTACCAGTTTAAGTCATCGATTAACAGTGAAGTAGGTTAAAAGCAGAGAGAGAGTTCTAATCCTGTGAAGTCTAATTCATAATTTATTCTAACATTTTCACTAAGAGCTGCCAAACAAGGCAACCAATAATTTCCAGAAACTAATGTTAAAGATAAAAGTTTAATAATGTAGAATATTCTAAATTTAAAAATGTAAAATATTCTAAAATATTTTCCTATTATAGCTTCTGCTCTGTCAAAAGCTATAATGAAAATAAGAGTACCATACACACTCTTGAAGGTAACGCAGACTGATGTAATTTTTTTCTAGAAAAAAATCTGCCAATACATAACAAAACCTATTTAAATTTTTTATGCCCTTGAACTTGGTAATTTCACTTTAAGGATTACATTCCAAAGGGGATGATCAAAAAGAACAATCAAGAGGCAGTGTTGATAAAATGTTTAAAGCAACATTTTTTACAATACTGAAAAATTAAACAATCCAAATGTCCAACAACTGAGGAATGTTTAAGCAAACTAGGGCACATTAATTTCAGTAAATTGCTGTAACTACTAAAAATAAGTAGGCTGTGTCAGTATCTAGAAATAATTTTAAGTGAAAGAAACAGGACAGAAAATAAGTACACACAATGGATATGGCTAAGCAAGAATAATAAACAAGATTTATGAAGATTTTAAAAGACCATAAAGTGATGGAAATAGCTGGTGTTTTATGTTCATCAGATTTTTGTTTTCTGTAAAGGTTAAAGAATGGATCACAATGAGCATGATTTTTTGGCCCTGGGTTTGGGGGTGTTTGAATCCCAGGAATGTGCTCCCCACAGCTGTTACCAGCCTCTGTGGACCCGATCCCTGTGGGGGTGGAACTCTTCTGGGTCTGTAACTCAGAATCCTTGCAGTGCTGGGGATGGACACAAACTGACTAGAAGACATTTGACACCCCATTTTTAAGCACAGTTGGAAAATGTAAAAATTTGAGAGCTGTGAAGTTACAGGGAACTAATCCTACACTTGAAGTTAACTTCAGTCTGTTCCAAATACAGGTGAATAAAGAGGAGTGAGATTTTTTTCATTATTCTATAGCCTTAGACAGTGGGCTGTTACACAACATAAAGATTTTTCTAACCTCATAATGAGACAAAAAAGCAAAAAGAAAATGTTTGCCAGATGACCAAGGTCTCTGGGAAATCTGACCTGAGCTTCTGAGAAGGGGACAACTGAAATGCTGTTCTCCACCAGGATGGTTGCAATTTCCCCTTCCAGATCACCGATTCTTCCTAAAACACGCACAAAATGTCCATTTGGATACACGGATGTTGACTCCCAGGAATCAATGCGCACAACCACCCTGGAGTCCTGCACAAAAGAAAAATAAAACATGAGTCAAAGCCAGGAGGTAAGAGTCTCCAGAAGCATCAAACAAAGGAGACAAACAGCACTGAGTTCCAAAAAGAGGGGCCAATTTGCAAATGGTCGTGTGGGGAGCTTTATTTACTTTCTGTTTTTGTTCTTCCTGTTTTACTGAATGGCCAGATGGTATGCAAATGCTTGGCCCAATGTATTACCTCTCTACATCAAATAAGTGGGCTGGAAATTTTAGTCTGTTGAAGCCAACTGTAACACATTTTACTTAACACTTGCACACAAGGAGAAAACCCAATTATGCATGGTCTCCTGAAGGTTTAAAACAACTGTCTCGATTTTGAGCATGTGGGAGTTACTTCCTAATTTCTTTGAAGACTTGAGATGCTCCTTGGTGAGAAAGAAGGCACCAGTGTGTAAACTGGACACCCACTGCCCGAGAGTTCCAGCAGCCCATGGAAATGAAGAGGGTAACAGCCATGACTGGTCTCAGAGCATCTGCTAGAAGCTTCAAGATGCAAGGGTACAATGTCCAGGACAAAGGCCAGGACATTCTGCTCTCGTGTCTCACTTACACACTAAAAACATCAGGCAAATTCAGCTGGCTACAAGTAAAGGTTGACGTCTAACTTTCTTGTTCGCATCTTCTCTCCAGCGCTATATTCCTTTATGGATCATCGGGTCTGTGAAGTGTCACTACATCATCCTTACAGGGCAGAGGGACCATATTTCTGTGTCCCTTGCTGGAGGAAAGCTTGTCAGGGTTGGCAAAGCCATCTATTGAGAGTTTCTGGGTTGGACAGCTGCATAATGCATGCCTGCTCAGGTTGTCCTACACAGCTCTTTCTAGGACAATTTCTCTCTGGCCTGCATTTATTAACCATGGACTACTCAATAAATGGCCCTTATATATTTAGAATTAAAAAATATCCAGTATCTCGGAGTGCCAGGTACCATCAATAATTTATTTCCTCTTATGCAAAGGATTGAACGGTGCTTCCTGGTACTGCTCGAGGGCCAGCAAAGCCAGAGGAGGGCAGAGGTGCGATGCCAGTTACCTGCAGGGTCTCTGCTTGCTGCGTGCTAATCCGGATTTTGGGAATTCTGTAATCCCAAGGGGTAACCAGGATCTTCTGAGCATTTTTGCCCTGAGATTGGACCTCTTCTTTGGATGGAAATGTCACCACGTAATCTCGCCAGTTCTTCTGAAGGATGCCCACCACACGACCTTTGAGAAGACAGAGTGAAGCATGACGTGGTTAGAGCTCACAGCCTGGACTGGGACATCTCAGAGGAAGGAAGCAAACAAACACCAGACAGACACCATTTCCTCGAGTCAAGAGGTCTCTCAAGACTGACCTTCTTGGATTTTAAAGATACAGTTTTTTAAGGTGACTACCTTCCTGTGCTACACTGTCAGCACGTCACACCCTTTTATCCTACTTTCTCCTCTGCCAGTACCATACCAATGTCAAGACTTCAAACCATGCCCTCTGCCATGCATTTTCACTGCCAGCTTGCATTCTTTCACCAGACATGCTCGTGTGACCGTTGCGTACATAAAAGAACACACTGTGTAGCCTGACACATGACACTTTTAGTCAGCACTGACTGAAGCCAAGAAAGACAAACATAATAGTTAAAAGTACTATCTTTTTTCTTTGGGTGGCAGTACTAGAATTTGAACTCAGGGCCTCGTGCTGAGCAGATATCTACCACTTGTGCCACACCCCCATTCCTTCTTTGCTTTAGTTATTTTTCAGGTAGGGTCTTAGTTTATTCCCCAGGCCAGACTCTGACCAGGATCCTCTTATCTACCATCTCCTGTGAGGCTGGGATCACAGACACACACCACCACGCCTGGCTTACTGATTGAGATGGGGGTCTTACTAACTTTTTGACCAGGCTGGCTTTTCCCTGTGATCTTCCCAATCTCCATTTCCTGTGTAGCTGTAATTACAGGAGTATACCATCATGCCCAGCATGCTTTTCTCTTTCAAGTATTTACTGAGCCTCTTCCAGGTTTGAGGCTCTCTTCTAGGAAAGGGAATATGGCAGTATGAAACCCAAGTCCTCAAGTTCTCGGATTTTACATGCAGTCAGTTTAGGTGGGAAACAGACAATAGTAAGTAAAAATATAGGAAGCAGTGATAATTCTTAAGAAAGGTGCAAAGTAGAGTAACGTGGCCAAGAGAGATAGAGGGCTAGAGGAGAAGCTCTTTTAAATAGTGACATGTGAGCAGAGATTTGAATGAATGTGAGGATGTCTGGAGAAAGCTTGATCCAGTGGTGGAAGAACAAGTTGGTCGCTGAACAAGTTGGATGACAAGGATAGAAGGTGGCCCAAGCTGCAGGCCACAGTAAAGACTATGGATTTTATTCTGAGAGAAATGATGCAGCATCAGAGAGTTTTGAGTAGAGACATGGCAGGCCCCAACTCACTTTTTGGAGGACCGACGGGAGAACAAGGGGCAGGCAGGGAGGCAGTGAGGAGGCTGGTGTGACAACCCGCCATGTACCCTTGACTGAGCCCAGAGAGGTGTGGTGGAAGTGGGAAGAGGCTGAACTTGGACCAGATGTCAAAGTTAGAGCTGTCAGGGTTTGCTGTATGTGAAAAAAAGCCAAGAGTAATCCCAAGGCATTCTGGGTTAGCCAAGTCTAAGAGTAAATTTGCCAACTGCTGAGATGGGGGACAGGTGGGGAAGGGCAGGCCTGGGGTGGAAACCAGGAGTCTGCTGTTGAGCATGTTAAGTCTGAGGTGCCACTAGACATCCAGGGAAGATGCCAAAGAGATGACCAAGAAAACAAACTGGAGGTCAGGAGGTCTGGGCTGGAGTCAAGAATGAGATCCAGGGAGGGAGAGGGGAACAGGGTCCTGGGGCAGAGCGCCTGCATGCCCAAGAGGGTGCAGAGGCACTGAGGAGGAGGCAGCAACCCCTAGCCACCCGCTGAATGCTGCTGACGTGCTGTGGACAAGGACTGGGAGGTGACTGATGCTTTGGCAGTGAGGTCAGGGAACCTGGACAGGCATGTATGTGGGTTCTAAATGGTATGCAAGAGAAATCAGAGGGAGCAAGGAGAAAGAGTGCAGAGTACAGGTCCCACTGTGTTACATCACAAACTGAAGCACAGAAGAATGGCAGGGACTGGAAGGAATGTGGGACCCAGAGAGGGTTTTTGTTTTGTTTTAAAGTAGATAGGCAGGACAAGGGGGTAAAAGAAGGAAAAAGAAAAACAAAATCTTAGAGCCAGGCACAGTGGCACATACCTATCACCCCAGCTACTCAGGAGGCTGAGATAGGAGGATCACTTGAGCTTAGGAGTTATGACCCAACTCAGCGACACAGTGAGTCTCTGGCTTGAAAAATAAATAAATAAACAAAGCCTAAAGCCTATTAGTTAAAAGAAAAAACTATTCCTCATCTATTTATATATACTTTGATATATTTCAGTATGTGACTATACTGCAACTCTTTACCCAGACTTCTGTGGTCATTTATGTGGTTGCTGATTTGAGTCGTACATTTCTGTGAATTGGAGACATACGTATCCGTGTCTCCTTTTGGACAAGCATAAGTGTTTCTCAAGAATCTGTAGACCTAATGACGAAGCATCATTAAACTGACTAGATTACGTGACATCGTCGTTTTCAAGTTTAATTGCACCACTGTATGCTTCCATCAATACTAAGTGATGCTACCAACCACATTCCACAATTCCAGCTATTCCTACTTTATTCAACTTTTGCCAGTTTGGCGAGTATAAAAAATGTTATCCCAGAGACAGATTTGAGACGTGGGCCTCTCCCTTCATGTTTGTCTGCCTTGTGAATAACTCTTTTGCTTTTGTAAAAAAATTTAAAATGTCACCTTACTCACTGCAAAACATAAATAAATTGGGCGATGTTATAGCACACTTGGGTGCTGATGAGATTAAAATAAACCTGGGGATAGCCAGGAATGGTGGCTCATCCCTATAATCCCAGCTACTTGGGAGGCAGAGATTGGGAAGACTGAAATTCAAGGCCAACCTGGGCAAAAAGTTAGGAAGACCCCATCTCAGTCAGTAAAAAGCTAGGTGTGGTGGCACACACCTGTCATCCCAACGGGGAGGGAACCGTAAGGAGGAGGATTGTGGTGAAGGCCTGCCTGGGCATAAACACAAGATTCTATCCCCAAAACAACCAAAACAAAAGGGCTAGGGTCTGACTCGAGTGGTCAAGCACCTGACTAGAAAGCACAAGGCCCCATGCTCAAACCCCAGTACCGCCAAAAAGATAAAATTTTTTTAAAAAGCCTGGGGAGAGGTTGGGGTGCAGCTCAGTGGTGCATCACGCTTAGCATGCTTGAGGCCTGGGGCTCAATTCTCATCCCATTTTTAATTTTTAAAAAATTTTTCTCTCTATGATTCATAATTGCTTTTATACAACAACTTTTTTAAATAAAATAAATCTGCAGAGAGGGGAAGCTGATAATGCAGAGGACGAGACTGTATCTTATATTAATAACATTGCACAGCATGACGGGTATAAATAATGTATTATTGAAAAATCGCTATATATATATATATATATATATATATTTTTTTTTTTTTTTTTGAGACAGAGTTTCACTATATAGCCCAGTCTAGCCCAGAACTCTCAATCCCTGTGCTCCAGGCTCAAATGCTGGGAATACAGGCATGAACCACCACACCCAGTCCAAAGAGTACATTTAAAGTCTTCTTTCCACAAAAAATGGTATGTGAGGTAATGCATATTATCAGCTTGCTTTACCCACTCCACAATTTACACATATCAAAACATCACATTATCCATGTGAATCTATACAATTTTTATTAAATATAAAAAAGAATCAGTGCAGTATTTCTGAATTGTAAGTGGAAGAAAACAGTAATCCTACAAGGAAATGGCTGCCGAGGGGCAGGCTCACCTGTGGGCATGGGCTCGCTCGGGGCCTCGCCCAAGGCCTTGTCATCACTGTCGTTCTCACACAGGGCAGCCGTCCTTCCTTTCCACTCACTTGTGGGCAGCAGTTCCACGGCCACCACATCTCCATGAATCGCGCGGTTCCGGGCCTTCATACCATGTACAAGGATGTCGCTGACTAACCCTGTTTGGCAGCAGAGAGAAGACCATGAAGCCACCAGCACTGCACCATGGCGGCAAGCATTACATATGGAGACCGATCAGCTCACCTGCACATAAAACCTTCCTCTCCCAGGCATGTCAGGGTGAGCAGGCTGCCACTCTGTCACACTCTGCACTGTGCTTTTACACAGGCCATCCTGCATCACTACTTTGCCTTTTTGTTTCAGACAGAGCCTCTATGTATCCCAGGCTGGCCTTGAACTCGAGGTCCTCTGGGTGCTGGGATTACAGGCATGAAGCACTTTACCTATTTGTACTTTTTTTGTTGTTGTAATATTACCATCCCACCACTTGTTGAGGTAGGTATTAGTTCCCTTGCATAACTTCAATCAAGTACTTTCAGGGTCCTTCACAGCAAAGGGGGAGCAGCAGGTTGGTGAAGTACACACATACACTGCAAACCTGCAGGGGGCTGGAGCAGAAGGCCCCAGGGAACAGCTGCTTCTCAGTTTTCAGTCTCCTTCACCCCAGCCACACTCCATGGACTATCAGAGTCATTACAGAACTAAGAACTCTATTATTTTTTATTTTGTTGATACTAGTGTTTGAACTCAGGGCCTTACACTTGCTAGGCAGGTGCTCTTACCACTTGGCCACTCCACCAGCCCTTTTCTGTGATGGGTTTTTTCGAGACAGGGTCTCCCAAACTATTTGCCAGATCTGGCTTCAAACCTCAATCCTCCTGATCTCTGCCTCCTGAGTAACTAGGATTATAGGCGCGAGCCACTGGCGCAGCTAAGAACTGTATTATGATACAATTATTTACACATCTTCATTTTGATTATTTTTTCAAAGTGATTCGAGAAAGCAACATCGCAGTCTGGGGCAGTGCAGAGGAATGTCGGTATCACAGCCAAAGCGCCGCTGCAAGCTCAGTCCCATTACGCACCAGATGTGTGACCTTGGGTACATTACTTTGCTCCTCTGTGTCTTAGTCAAGCTCACTGCAATATGACAAAAAGCAGGGCTAGGTGGTAGGAGGAATAGCTTTTAAAGGTGTAAGGCACAGGGGAGTAACCATGGTTCAGACAAATGTCTGAAGAGAAGGACAATTACCCTGACCTGACCATTACACATGCACTGAAATACCACACTGTACCCCATAAATATGTGCAATTATTCTGCTATACAATTTAAAAATTTTTTAAACAGTAAAATGAAATAAAAGCAAATTGTAGGCGAAAAGGAAGGAAGAAAAGAAACTAAAACCCCACAAAGCCTGCACACATAGGGACACATGACGCGGCATGTGTGACAACAGTGTCACCTTTACTTTCGTCATTGTGCAACCAGCAGACCAAAAAGCCGCGTAGGAGTTTAGGTGTGGTTTATACTGAACCTGAGTCTTTGCTGCTGGCTCCTTGAAGTCGAACAAAAGCTTCTACTTGTGCTCTGTGTTTATTGACGTTCAGAATTCCCTAAAATCAGAATCAAACATCAGTGTGAAAACATTTCTGCCAGGTTCACCTCTGAAAGGGCCAGGTTTTTTTTTTTGGTGATGATTTTATTGCATTTTATTTAGTCTTCTGATTTTTAACCTTATGTCCTACTTCAGAGATATTTCAAGTATTCTACTTATTATCTGAGGCTGTCAACAAACCATAGCATTTTTTTTTATTCACATGTGCATACATTATTTGGGTCATTTCTCCCCCCGCCCCCCTCCCCCATGAAAGGTCCAGTTTTTAAAAAAAATATATGAAAATATCTCCAAAATATTCTTATACAGTTTGTGATCCCTTTTTTTTTTTTTTTTTTTTTGATGGGACTGAACTCAGGGCTTTGTACTTGGCAAAGCAGGGGCTCTATCACTTGAGCCACACCTTCAGTCCATTTTGCTGTGGTCATTTTGGAGATGGGGTCCCATGAACTATTTGCCCAGGCTGGTCTGGAACCGTGATCCTCCTGATCTCAGTCTCCCAAGTATCTGGGATTACAGGTGTGCACCACGGTGCCCAGTTTGTGGCCCGTTTCTTTAGAAATAATATTAGTCACTAAGGTTTCTTTTCTTAAGAGAAAATAGCATCATTTTGACCCACTCTGTAACTCGACCAAGTTACAGAGTGACCACATAATACCTTGGCAGGGACTTTCTGTGGTGCTCTCAAATTTCAGCTAGCAATGTAAAATCTATGATCAAATAGTTCTGTATCTTGACAATGATGGTGGACACAAAAATCTATGTAGGTGATAGGACTGGGTAGAGCCACACAAACACGAGTGTGTGTAAAATTATTGAAAGCTGGATAATAACTATGTCCAGTTCCTTCCAAAGTCCTGACCGTGCCTGGGTTCTAGGTCCTGGGGGATCACAATGAGGCCTTTGAAATAGGTGGGAAATGGCAAAGGAGCAAAGCTAAATTTTGCAGGTTTTATAACGCTGTTAAGCCGCCTCATCTTGATTCAAAGTTAGGTTTCTTTCTTAGTGACAGAGCCATTTACAAGGTCACTCCCACACTCCACTTCCATGGCACCCAGCACACAACACAATCAAGACCATCACAGAGCAGCTGCAAGGGCTACAGAAGAATGGCACCCTGGCTCACTCACAACCATCTTGTAAGTGGCCTTTGAACTTCAAAGGCCAGTCACAGGAAATGAGGAGGGCAGGGGAGGGAAGATGAGGTAGGGGAGGAGGGGAGGGAAGGGGGAAGAGAAAGAGACAGAAAAAGAAAGAGAAGGAGGGAGAGGAAGAAAAAAGAAAGGGAAAGAGCAAGAGAAGATGCCGGCTGGAGCTGACATGGACTCTGCATAAGCACTCTCACCTGGACATAGCACCCAGATTTGATCCCTGCTTCTAGCACTTCTGGAGGAAGATGTTCGGGGTACTCCTTCCCATGACTCTCCTGACTTTCACTCTCTCTCTCCCGGCGTGACTGAAGGATAGAGTCACAGAGTTCATGGGCAGCCTTTAAATCTGGCCAGAAATTGTCCAGATAACTCTGCATTGAGAGAAGGCACAGAGAAACACGGTCAGAAGATGGTCACTCTTCGTCACAGCACAGAAGTCCTGCCTAGCAACCCCACCAGTTCCTCTTCTGCCATCTCATTAATCCCCGAGCCTTGGCAAAGCAGCCCCGGGGAAGGAGGCGATCCGCCATGGCCCCTTCCATCTCCAGTCTCTGCACTTGCAACGCTGTCTCCCTGTTCACATGCACATGGCTGTGGGCGTGGGCATGGCACACACACGTCCAGGCAGCCTCTCTTTCCATGCATCCCACATCCAGGCAGCCTCTCTTTCCACGCATCCCACATCCAGGCAGCCTCTCTTTCCATGCACACACGTCCAGGCAGCCTCTCTTTCCACGCACACATGTCCAGGCAGCCTCTTTCCATGCATCCCACATCCAGGCAGCCTCTCTTTCCATGCACACATGTCCAGGCAGCCTCTCTTTCCACACATCCCACGTCCAGGCAGCCTCTCTTTCCACACATCCCACGTCCAGGCAGCCTCTCTTTCCACACATCCCACGTCCAGGCAGCCTCTCTTTCCACACATCCCATGTCCAGGCAGCCTCTCTTTCCACGCACACATGTCCAGGCAGCCTCTCTTTCCACACATCCCACGTCCAGGCAGCCTCTTTGCACGCATCCCACATCCAGGCAGCCTCTCTTTCCACACATCCCACGTCCAGGCATCCTCTCTTTCCACGCACACATGTCCAGGCAGCCTCTTTGCACGCATCCCACATCCAGGCAGCCTCTCTTTCCACGCATCCACTGCTGTAGATAATGGCTACAGGGAGCGGACAGAAAAAGCTTCTGCACGTGTATTCTTATCTCTTTGGATGTAGTTTTAAGTCTACGGTAGAGTCCAGCACATTTTCTTTTCTTGAATTGCAAAGAAATCAACCTTTTTGTCAAGTCCAGCACTTCTTCCATTAATTTTAGGGCTTCCTTTCTTCCCTTCATCCTTCCAGAAGTTCTGTCTGTGCTGATGTCAGTTCCCCAATTCTACAGTCATGTATCACTGATCAACACCAAACTTCTGTCATTGAACCACATCTTCACGGCCATGTGTTGTCTTCGTTCTTCTACATCTAACTTCATGTCCTCAAAGAAGATTCTGGACTTCCTCACATCTGAATGTCACAATCTTTGCTATCATTCACCTCTATGAGGTCCTTGGTCACACCATTTGCTAAAAAAACACTATGCAAAATAAAACTGTCCTATACTACTGGACTACAAAGAAAAGTAATTTTCACAAAAAGTAGAAAAATGTAATTTTAGTCAACTGTCCTCTGCAGGAACAAGACATGATATATTGCCACAGAAAAAACAAGTGACGCTGCCATTAATATCTAGTGCCCCCGGAATTCTCTGGCATGCCAGAATACTTTTTTATAGCAGGGCCAAGAAAATCCTATTGGCAAATCTTTAGCAACACGCGCACATGGGAACCCTTATAGAATCTACAATTCAAAATCCAGCTAGTTTTTCTGTAAACTGACAGGGATAATGGGGGGCCTCACCCGTTTCTGCATCAAAAAATGAATGAGTCAGTAGAACTTGATTGACCAACCCGGCAGACAGGGAGACTAGCCATCTACTGAGAGATTACCAGTCGTCCTAGTCTCTCAAAAGGTGCTTTGGAGACAGGAAGAACTGTGTCGCTATGACAGCCTGCAGACCTGGCACTGAAAATGCCACTCCTGTCTGTGGACAGTCTTCACGTAAATAATACCACATGGCAGTCCTTCACGTGTCCCTACTGACCCCCAGGAACACACAGGTGGGAAGAATAAGGGACAGCTGAACAAGAAGACTGGCCTCCAATCGGTTTGCGTTTCGTGTGGCATCCAGAAGTGTAATTTAGGAAGCAGTTGAGTGTGGTGGTCCTGGAACTTCGGTCAGGCTGCCTGGGTGCTGATTCTAGTGCTACCGAGGTCTACCTAGTGACCCTGGGCAAGCGGCTAGCCTTCCTGTACTTCCTTTTCCTTACCAATAAGACAGGATGCTGGCACGACCTCATAGCATTGCTGCAAGAATTAAGTGGGATATCGCGCTTGTTTACGTGGATTATTCCTTCAATAACACTCATCATACGTGCTGCCGAAGCGAGCACATTTTTGCTTGGCACAGGTAACTGTTGGTTATTACAATGAGGTAGAAACGTAGAACTGCCATTTTGTAGGTAAAAATAAGAGCACTGACAGTCTTACTCAACCTCTCACCATCATCTTCATCCTCATCACAATCACAATAGGTACCATTGCTGTAATTAGTGCAAACGTTAGTTGAGGAGGTGGGGTTCAGCTCAGTGGTACAGTGTGTGCTTAGGCTGTGAAAGGCCCTGGGTTCAATTCCCAGCACTAAAAAAAAAAAACCCCGAAAAACAAAACAAAACATGAGAGTGCTGTGAGCAGGGGCTTAGCAGGCTGGTGGTGGGTGCTGTGAGCCTCGCAGTCACAGGAGTTGCAGCCCAAACTTGCTAAAGTCGAGGTTACTTAGTTGGTTAGTCAAGGATAGGGACCATCTTAAAGTCTTTGTCTTTACTTTCTCTTTTCTGGGCTGCCAAAGGGATCTAGAGCCTAGGAGTGCAACTTAGGAAATGAACGTGAGTGTGGGTGTGTGCACACGCGCACACTTACAACCGCAACTGCTGGAAATACCTTGAAGGAAATCACAAACACTCCTTTTGTTTCACTTCCGTACTGCTGAATGGCCTCCTCATCTTCTGTCACCATGACGATTGGCATTCTGTCCTGGCAATGGTGACAGTACCAGACAGCTGCATTGTATATGCTCCTGGAAAAGCAAGGGAGAGTGAGCCCTCCCAAGGCCACAGACAGCTGTGGTTCAGAATTTCACATCTGGCTGTTAATCTGCCATCCTGTTGTACATGTAGATAACTGCTCATTTATTTATTCACTCAACAAACACTTTCAGAATAGCCATATTAACTAAGCCTTGGGCTGAGTCCTTTGGGGAATAAAAAGACAATCAGAAAGCACCCAGCATCTCTTCTTCCCTAAGACCTCACAGCAATGACTTTCATTTTTTAACTCTCCTAGAAACCACGATGCTCTGTCATCTTTCAAGTAGAGGGCAGAGCCACAGAGCACCACATAGATGACAAGTGACAGTAGGAAAGATGAAGAAAGAAAACCTGTAAGTAGCTGAAGATGGTAATCCAGTAGGGTCTGACAGACCATGTGAGATGCCTGGAATTTTCCAGGAGAGAGCCAGAGTCTAGGTCTGGAGAGCTTGCAGGCTGGAGTATGTTTCCAAAGAGGTGTACAAACGTGAAGGCCGTCTCCGCAGGCATCTGCCTCCCTTTTTGCAAACAAGGCGTTAGGTAGGTCCCTCTGCACTGGTGTGTGTGTGTGTGTGTGTGTGTGTGTGTGTGCGTGCATGTGCGCGTGTTCACACTCAGCCAGCATTTACTGAGCATCTACTACGTGCAAAGCAGTGTAGTGAGTAACTGTGATCACTTGGAGGAGTACCTTATGACACAATCTAGAGAAGCTTGCTTTTTCCTTTCTGGTACTGAGCCCCTAGGAACTGGGGATGATCACTAAGAATGTATACGTCAGTGATTATTTTGCTTTGGAGAGCTGAAATATTTAATGGTTGTAACATAAATAATTGCAAAGGAAAAGATGGCTAAAATGTTCTGCACAGATAAGACATAAAGCATAAGGTCCCTTTGTCCCACACAGACTGTGGCAGAGGCCACTGGCGCCCAACTTCTACACCCTGGGCCCATCTCTGATGTGGCTGCAGTTCCATCACATGTCAAAGAACCACAGAATGGGGTCAATGCCCCTGGGAAGGACCTTTGATGAAAGGGCACCAGCCCCTGCCTTGGTGGTGCCTTCTGTGGCATTTGATAGGCTTCTCTGGTCCCCAGAAGGCCTGGCTGGGCCTTTGTGTCATACACTCACACCCTCTGCTGCTTCCTTCCTGGGCTCACTCCCCTAGTCCTCACTCCTGCCTTTGGGAATCTCTCCCCACAAACAGCCCACTCCCAAACGCTTGCCTCAGGCTTTGCTTTCAGGTGGACCTAAACCAAGACACTGTAGTTCCTAGAACAGTTTCCACTTAATGAGACTGGATAAGAATATTAAATGAAGCAGACAATCTTATTAGCTTCAAAGCAGACCCTTCCTCCCCCCTAGCCTTAAGGTTCTAACCTCTAGATGGGTATTCTACCACTTGAGCCACTCCACCAGCCCAGGTTGTAACTTCTAAAATCACTAGAAGATTCCTGCCAGATTTGGGTCTGGGCAAACTTGCTCAGGGTGCCTCCATCTCTTTAATTACAATTTAAAAAATATAATAATTATGTATGCAAATGAATTTCTAAAGCATCGATTCATTAAGCATGTCAGTATTAACCATGGTTCTAGAGTAATCGGTGGTTTATGCTAGCATACTCTTTAGGTCAACTCGCAAACAGCCACGGGAGAGGCAATGGGAAGGCACAGAGTGGAGACTGCAGCTACCCGGGGCCACACCTGGTCTGCCACTTCTCCATGGGCTCCCCTCCTTCCCGAGGGAGGTAGCAGTGCTGCTGGAATTCATTGGCGAAGAGAATACAGTCGTGACGCGCATCCTTCAGCAGGTTTCGCAATTTGTTATACTGTCTGTAACACAGAGGAGGAAAACAAATCCAACAGTGAGTACTCATCTCCTGCCATCTCCTGCCCAGGATCAAAAAAAAGATGAGATGTTTCAGAGCAAATGAGAGTGTCTAAAATCAAAAAGCCAAACCAACAGAAACCACCCCTCCAACCCCCAAAATAATTCTTTATATTGGCCTCAGTGTACTCAGAGTTACTGTTTCTCAGCTGTGCCTGCTGGAATGCGCTTGGGCAGGGCCTCATGTATTAGTTTGCAGATTAATTAAACCTCATTTCTCCCTATGTAATTACGTCACCTTGCCCCTCTTCAAAGCCTGTGTACACAGAGGCAGGCAGAGAACTGGCATTTAAACTTTGTACCTCACTTTGTTTTATAAATGGAATTAAGCATTGATAACGTTTTACTTTTTATGGTTTTCTTTTTTTTTTTTTTAACATGCGTGTTAAGTTAGTTTGGGGTTTACTGGAGAATTTTGTTTATGCAGCCACCCTGATTTGCACAAAGGAAAGCTAGCCTCACCTTTCAGACAACTAGTGGAGTTGTAAGGACCGAGAGATCCTTCCAGCAATGCCAGCCAAAGTCACAACTCAAATGGTGAGCCTCTATGGGTCAGTTTCTAAGGAGGTCTAGGTAATATGAAATTACAGAAAAAATTCCATCAGTGGCTTTAAAGGATGTGAATTGGGGATTTTGTTTGTTTTGTGGAGCTGGTTCTCCAACCCAAAGCCTCACATGCTAGGCAAGCACTCTCCACTGAGCCACTCCCCAGCCCCAGAAGTCAATTGTTAACTTATAAATGAATTCGTATTAATCCAGATGTTACACACGCACAGGAAATCAATGTGAGTCAATGCCCTGTATAGCTATCCTTATCTCAATCAGCAAAAACCCTTGTTCCTTCCTATTATTGCTTATACTCTCTCTTCAACAAAATGAGAGCTAAGGGCAAAATAGTTTCTGCTGGGTATTGAGGGGGTGGGGGGGAGAGGGAGGGCGGAGTGGGTGGTAAGGGAGGGGGTGGGGACGGGGGGGAGAAATGACCCAAGCCTTGTATGCACATATGAATAATAAAAGAAAAATCCAGATGTTAACATCTAAGCTATTCAAGGCAGATGACGACATGTAACATGTGTTTTAATGCAATAAAATTGACACCTTCCCTCCTCACCTCCAGTCTGCCACCATGGGATTTTTAAGAAATGAGTCTTTAGCTGGGTACCAGTGGCTCAACCTGTAATTGTAGCCACTCTGGAGGTAGAGATCAGGAAGACTGCAGTTTGAGGTCAGCCAGACAAATAATTTAAGAGACCCTATCTTGAAAATACCCAATGCAAAAAAAAAAAAAAAAAAAAAAGGCTACAAAGTGGCTCAAGTGGTAGAGCATCTGCTAGCAATTGTGAGGCCCTGAGTTCAAACCCAAGTACTACCAAAAACAAAAAAACTAAAACCTTTTCATTTAAGCAAAGACAGAACCCCCCAACTTACCCTATCTAAATAAATACTAGCCACCAACATCTGGGTGGTCTTGTCCTTCATTAGAAAATAAAAAACATTGATTTTATTTTCTTAGTAATGCTAGTTTTGAGTCACCTTAAAAAGAACAAGCATAGGGTGTCAGCTTAGTGGCACTGGCACTTGTCTGCATGCTTGACACCTGGGTTTAATGGCCAGCATTATAAAATGTCAGAGTACACAAAGGAATTCACTCTCATCTCTACCAATGACAATGTTTCTTAACAGAACTTCCTTTGTGCAAACCACCCCATCAAGATTGGTAGAACATACCAAGTTAGTACAGTTCCCATCATTGCAAAGACATATTTAAAACTCATATTTTTGTTGTTGTACTGGGGTTTGAACTCAGGGCTTCACACTTGGTAGGCAGGCACTCTACCAGTCACCATGCCTCCAACCCTTAAAACTCATTTAAAAAAATCTCTTAGAAGAACCTACAGTGCATCGTTAACAGTGGTCAGTTTGCAGGCGGATACAGTAGGTTTTTAATTTCTGCCTGATACATTTCTGTAATGAGCACTTATTTGTTAAGCAATAAAGATGTTGGAAGAGATGTCTCATAAGCATCTGTAATTTACTATTTCAGAGAAAACAGGTCGTGAGGACTGTGCCCTCCCTCTTGCATTGTTGAAGGAGCTGGTTCCCAATAAATGGTGGTTACAGCTTCTGTCCTCCTTCTCCCCCACTTCTACCCACAAAAGGCTTTGGCTAAGACATCGCCAAAGACAATTTACCTAACATTCTATTTTGTACACCCCCAATAAAGCCCTGGAATTCACTGGGTTATTTGTTGACAAATTACCACCCCTGTTGGCTCAAATGGTAGAGCACCTGCTTTGCCAGCACAAAGCCCTGAATTCCAACCCCAGTCCTACCCAAAAATAAATAAATTAATTAATTAAAAAAAAATAAAGACCCCCTGCAGCGAGCAGCCCCTGGGGTCGGCCAGTGCCCATGTGTGCAGCAGCCCCAACTATGGCAAGCAAAACCTAATACTGTATACACCCCAGAGTCAAAAGCAGGAACTCATCTGCACACCCACCATCACAGTGGCAGTGATCATGACAGCCAAAAGGTAGACATGACCTAATGACAACAAATGGATGACCAAATGTGGCATGTGTCACTCAGCCTTAAAACAGATAGAAATTCTGATACCTGCTGTCATTTGGATAAACCCTGACACATTATGCTGAGTGGCAGAAGCTAGTCTCAAAGGGACAAATACTGTGTGGTACCTAGAATAGCCAAACTCAGGGAGGCAGAGAGTAGAATGGTTCCTGGGGGCTGAGGATCAGGAGGGGAGCTAGCATTTAAAGGGTTCAGGGATTTTGTGGGGAAGATAAGAAGGTTCTAGAGATGGTAATGGTGATGCTGATGGTCATGGTGATGGTGTCGGTGACGGTGATGCTGCACAACAATACCAAGGTTCTTAATGCCTTTGTGCTGGACGCATAAGAATGGTGAAAGGTAGCTGGGCACAGGTAGCTCAGGCTTGTAATCCTAGCTACTCAGGAGGCAGAGATCAGGAGGATCTCGATTTGAAGCCAGCCTGGAGCAAATAGTTCTCTGAGACCCTACATAAAAAAGGGCTGGTGGAGTGGTTCAAATGGTAGAATGCCTGCCTAACAAGTAAGAGGCCCTGAGTTCAAAGTCCAGTGCTGCCAAAAAAAAAAATTCAAATGACTTATTTGGGACCGCTAGACTTAACTTCTTTCTTTCTTTCTCTTTTTTTTTTTTGGTGGTGGTACTGGGGTTTGAACTCAGGGCCTCACGCTTGATAGGCAGGCACTCTACCACTTGAGCCATTCCACCAGCCCTCTTTCTTTCTTTTTTGAGAAGGGTCTCACTACATAGCCCAGCCTGGTTTCAAACTCAGGATCCTCCTGACTCAGCCTCCTGAGTGCTGGGATTACAGGAAGTTGCCCATCCTGGTCTCAAACTCCTGAGCTCAAGTGACCCTCCTGCTTTGCCTCTTGAGTGCTGGAACTACAAGAGCATGCCGTTACGTCCAGCTCATATGCATTTTGTATTATTTTTATTCGACGGTGGCCTTGTCTACAGACGTGACATCTTCCCCTGCTGACTACACTCTCCAAGTCAAAGTGGGAAGAAGCACAGCAAGGTGAATTCTGAATTGAACTCTTTCTTCAGCTGGCTTTGCAACACTCTGATGAGGTCTCCTAGACTCACTTTCAGAGGTCCTTGAGTTTTTAACAAGATAGGTTTGTATTTCTGATTATATTAGCCATACTCTCAGGCATTTTTATAGAGTACATTTTGGACCATCAGATGACCACTTTGTTATAGTTTAATTTCTTTTTTTTTTTTAAAGAGGATCTTGCAGTGTTGCCTTGAACTTGTGATTCTTGTGCCTTAGCCTCCCATAGCTGAGATTACAGACATGCACCACCACACCCGGCAAGATCCATAGTTTGGATCTTGGATGTCCTCCAAAGGCCCCTGGGTTGAAGGCTTGGTCCCCAGGGTCATGCTACTTGGAGGAATGAGAACCTTTAAGAGGTAGGGCCTTGTGGGAGGGTCTTTAGGACACTGGGGGTGTATCCTTGGAAAGAATATGGGAAGCCAGGCACAGGTGGTTCACACCTATAATCCAAGCTACTCAGGAGGATCGTGGCTCGAAGCCAGCCCAGGCAAATAGTTTGTAAGATCCTATCTCAAAAATATCCAACCCCAAAAAGGGCTGGTGAAGTGGCTCAAGGTGTAGGCCCTGAGTTCAAACCCCAGTACCACAAAAGAAAAGAAAAGAAAAGATCTGTGGACCCTGGCCCTTTCCTCTTCTTTTGCTTCCTGGCTATAACATGAGTGATTCTGCTCTGCCACCACCCCTGCCACAATGTGCTGCCTCATCACAGGCCTACAAACAATGGGGCAAATGGATTGTGGACTGGAACCTTCAAAATAAACTTTTCTCTTTGCAAGTTAATTATCTCAGGTATCTATCATAGTAACAGACAACTGAGTAGCACATGCCTTCCGTCTACATGGCTGTCTGTGTCAGTGCTGCCCCTCTGAAGGCTCAAGAACACCTCCAGCTCTGGACCCTGACTCAGCCCTCTGCCTTCATCCTCCTCTCGTGTCCTTTCTCTGCCCAGTTTTATAAACATCTTGGCCCTATCCTTGACACCACCTGCTCCCCATCTTACATATCCAAATCCATCACTTTATTCTACAGAATTTTAAAAGTAACAGCTGGATGGGCTGGTGGAGGGGCTCAAGTAGGAGAACACCTGCATAGCAAGCGTGAGGCCCTGAGTTCAAGCCCCACTACTATCCAAAAAATGACAGCTGTACTATGATATAATTTACATGCTATAAAAGTCATTTACCTTTTCAAAATGTACCTTTCAAGAGTTTTTAGTACAGTCACAAAGTCAGGCAACCATCACTGCCATCTAATTCCAGACCAATTTCATCACCCTGAAAGGAAACCTGTACCCATCATTCCCCACTCCCTTTGGCCCCCAGCCTGGCAACCACTATCTACTTTCTGTCTGTATTGAATTGCCTACTCAGGATATCTTATATTAATAAAATTATCCAATATACAATGTTTTGCATATGTAGTTGGCTTGTGTCACTTAGCATATTTTCAAGGCTCAAACATGTTTTAACATGGATGTAACTCATTTTTATAGTTGAATAATATTCCATTGTTTGGATATATCACATTTTGCTCAAACATTACAAGTTGATGGCCACTTTGGTTGCTTCTACTTTTTGGATATCATTAATGAAGTGACTATGAGTATTACACACAGTGTTTTGTTTCAACGTGGACAATGTATCCATTTCTATTGGCTATACACTTGGGAAGTTTGATACATTTTTACCTACTAAACAGTTCTGAAAATGCCCATTTCTCTCCATGTCTAAGTCACCAACATCTACGGCAGGGCCTGGGTCTGTGTGATGATATTTAATCCCCATTATGTGATACTGCGAGGATGGAAAAGTAGACCCAGTATGTGTTCAGAGGTAGGGCCTTTGGCAAATGGTTAGGATTAGGCGAGGTCATCAGGACCCTTCAGGACTGAATTACTGGTGACTTTATGAGGGAGGCCAGAGGACACACAGATACACTGTGCTCTTTGTCTCTTGTGCACGGCATCACTGACTGTCAGCAGGAAGGCCATCACAGATGTGTCCCCTCCACTTTGGACCTCCTGAATCATGAGATACAAGAAAACTACCTCTGGTAACACAAAAAAAGACTAATACATCTCTCATCTAGACTACAGCAGTAGCCTCCTCCCTCTTCTCCTGGCCTCTTCTCCAGCTAGCCCAGTAATCTGGTTAAAACAAGAGCTTGATCATGGTATCCCACCCTGCGCTAGACCCTTCCCTGACATCCCCACGGCCCATGAGGCTTTCCATCTGACCCCAGAGTTCTCTTTTATTTTGGCAGTATTGAGGTTTGAACTCAGGGCCTTGCGCTCGCAAGGCAGGCGCTCTACCACTTAAGCCACTCCACCATCCCTTCTCTCAATCCCTTGAGCATTCCACCTCCCTTTATGGACCATCACACACAGGCTGCTGCCTCTGCCTGGAAGGCTTTCCTCCTTTGCCTGGTCTCCTACTGTGCCCTTAGAGCTCAGCACAGGCGTCTCCAGCAGGAAAGCCCTCCCTTGCTCTCTGGCAAGTGGGGGCTATGCTGGTGCCACTCATGCTGAGTAACCCCAATGTCATATGACCCTGCAGAGCTCCTCAACTGTAACATCCTGTGGTTCCAATGTTACATACCACCAAGAAACTGAGGTATGAGCTGTTGAGACTTTCTATAGTTCTACAGAAGGTATTCAGAAGGAAATCAGAAGGAGAAAGCAAAACATCATATACCAGATGCCAAACCATACCTGGTATGATTAACCAACAAAGCTTTGCCATGCAACAGTGTCCCTAAACTTTATTGGATTACTTACTGGCATTTCAAAAACCTTCAAGAAAGAAATAAAAAAGAAAAAAGTGTTTCCCAACATTAAATGAAACAAAACACCAGAGAGCCTCTGTTCAGTGAAGTCTGGTTAAATATAAAAAATTAATTCTCATCACAAAAAAATGCCAAGTAGCTGGGCAGGGTGGTATATACATATAATCCCAGCCCTCAGGAGGCTAAGGCAGGAAGACTGAGAATTTGAGGTCAGCCTGGGGTCTCAAAAACACAAAACAAAAAGTCACACTTGCAATCCTAGCTACTCAGGAGGCAGAGATCAGATGGGTCCTGGTTCAAAGTCAGCCCAGGCAAATAGTTTATGAGGCCCTATCTCAAAGAAACCCATCACAAAAAAGGGCCCTGAGTTCAAACCCCAGTACTGGAAAAAAAAATACACTATGTGCAGCAATGCATGTGTTAATTAGCTTGTGTGTACACCATAAATACATACAATTTTTGTCAAGTTAAAAATCAAGTGTGGGATTGTAGGTGGCTCAATCCTGTAATCCAAGCTACTCAGAAGGCAGAGATTGGGAGGATCTTGGTTCAAGGCCAGCTCAAGCAAAAAGTTTACAAGACCCCATCTCAACCCAAAAAAGCTGGGCCTGGTGACATGCTGCCTATCACCTTAGCTATGTGGAAGAAGCACAAACAGGAGGATGGGAGTCCAGGCTGGCCTGGGAATACAGTGGGACCTATCTCAGAAATAACCAATGCAGAAAGAGCTGGCGGAGTGCCTCAAGTGGTAGAGCACCTGCTAGAAAGCACAAGGCCCTGAGTTCAAACCCCAGTATCATCAAAAAAAAAAAAAAAAAGCCAAGTGACTCACACTTAACATTTATGAAAACCTTTAAAAAAGCAAATCTCTGGATCTATCATCAATTTTAAAATTAATTTTCAAAATATGCCACTTTCTAGGGCTTAGGAAATTTTGGTTATTTCACTGCTAATGTAAATGCTCATGCTGGTTGCTTCACAGGTAAACCAAGTGCCAAGCCCCAAACTTGCCTCTTCATCAGTTGCCTTCAGAATAGACTCAGTAAGAGCAGTCTCCAACCCATTTCTCCCAGAAGGCTTTCTGGTGAACCCCCACACTCACATATGCTTCTGTACTTTGGATGGCTGTCTCTTGCACCTAACCTCAACCAGACAATAGGCTTGTTGAGAGAAGACTTTCTTTTGTATTCCCCAAGGCCTGGGACTAGGATTTCCAACAGTGCTGATAAGTGGATCACCCAGGGTGCTACCAGGAAGGCCAGTTCATCCCGCCTTGCTCTTCTGTTTTCACATACAGGACACCCACAGACAGGTGAAGTTTTCAAGTTAACTACTTTTGAAATGTTCAGGAGAAATGACATTAAAACTCCAGTTCTTGGCGGGGAAGGGGGGAGAAATGACCCAAACATCGTATGCACATATGAATAAAAGAAATTTTTAAAAAATTCCAATTCTTTGTCTTTGAATGTTGCAAGAATTGGTTTTTAAAACCATCCTTAACATTTAAGATATTTTAGAAGACAGAAGTTGAAAGGGCTCGCAGTGTGTTAGCAATCTGAAAGATAGCAGCAAATCGATTTTAGAAGCAGAGACTGAAATACGACACCTGGAGCAGCATTTAAACCTGGAAGTGTGTAAACATCCATATCTTTGTGTCTGAACAAAATCAACCAGAAGCTCATTTTAAATATTCCATCTGAAGAAGGCCTGCATGCAATCTAGTTAACGTATATTTTTTTGAACAGAGCATATCATAAGGACATTTTATCATTTTCATCTACAAATAAAAACACTTCATCTTTTACTACCAAGGTTTGAAGAAACCACGACATTATCAAAAAACACATAGTTTCTGCTTATTTAATAACTTGGACTGCTAAGAGATTGGATATATGTTTCTAATAGGCTATTTCTACACAGTCATAAGTTCAAATCATAAAACCTTTCCCAATTTTAAATGAAGCAAAACTGTATTTTACAGTATTTGTATAAAGAGCGGACAACTATTCTTCATTTAGGTGAAAGGCAAGCATTTTAGACTGGTTCAATAAGACACGTTTTGTTTAGCAAATACAATTACTATGGCTGATGTTACACTAGTAATCTAAAATAATAACAAGTTATTTCTGATTTCATTGAATAAGTCATTACAGGTACAACTTGCATTCACAATAAAAGAGTCTAAAATTGTCCTAAGAAAAGAATGTATGCTCCTGAAACACTGTATCTCTAAATAAGACTAAATAAGATACATTATCAGCAAAAAACAACAACAAAGCAATAATCCTGCTTCTATAAAAACGCAAACGAAAGCTAAGCCACACTAGAATCTTCAAATCTACATACTGGGGACACTGCAGCATATTGATCTGCAGTTGGATCTTTAGAGCAGGTGTTGAAGCAGAACTATAAAATGTTACCGCATTCCACACTAGCAAAGAGAATACCAAATTAGTTTCAAAAATCCTTTCTGACAAAATATTGAATTCCTCCCTTCCTCATCCAACAAGGGACCTTTTCCAAAGGGAGGGGTGTGGGAATCCAACCCATAAATAAATAAATAGTGCAAAACGCTACCTGCGGCCTCTTTGATGCTGCACAGCTTGACAAGCTGTTTGCATGAAGATAATTCCCTTCAACTCCAGAAACTCCAGGACCTCAAGGTAATCTTGAACAACTTTCCAGTCTGGGATCACATAATGAGTCACGTCACTAGACAAGAGCTTCCCATCTGAAACATAAATCAAGATGGACGAGATTAGGTAACATTTGCCAGCCTGGTTTATTACTATTTCAATGTCATGTGCCCCGGTGGGCAGAATAAACTTCCGATCTTAATTCTACCTTGAAGTTTTTAAAAGGCAAGACAAATCTACTTTGGTTGAGGCCCAAAGTTCAGGGAGGTTCAGTAGTTTTTTTCTTTTTCTTTTTGACGCTGTGATAAATACAAGCTCAACATGGCTTAGGGTGTCGCCACCGGTGCAGGAGAGGATGAATGCTATTTTCAAAAGCAGACAAGTACATCTTCAGCAGGAGGCGGTTATGTTAACTCGTGGCTGACACGCACTCACGAGCACACTTGTGTGTGCCCCGCAATTTCAAGCGGGTTGTGTCCAGCTTTCGAACACTGCCAAGTTTCCAAGGGCCAGAAAGACAGAACTGCTAGAACGGGTGCTCGGTGCTAGCAGTGGGCAATCGAGGGGTTTCCACCCAGCCCAGCCGAGAGCTATACCCAGGTAGGCGAGCTGTAAGTGAGACTGCAGCCCCCTTGTCACCGCAGCCTTCGCCGAGGAGCGAGGGGGGAGGAAAAGCGACTTAGATGGCCACGCTCGGCCTGCAGAGCGGAGTTAGGTGGCGCCGCGCAGCACCATCCGCCTTCGCGGTGACCTTGGCGAAGAGGCTCCCCCGCGTCGGTGGCCCCGGCGTGGGCGCGGACAGCTCTGCACCCTCGTGTCAAGCGGCGGGGCGAGGGTCCTCGGCGGGGACGGGGCGGAGGCTGCGGGGCCGGCCCTGCCCGGCCGCCCTCGCTCGCGCCCGGCCGCCCCGCTGCGCCAGGCCGCGGCTCCGCGGGCTCCGCCAGGCCCGTCCCGCCCCGTCCGCCCCGTCCCCGTCCCCGGCCCCGTCCCCGGCCGGCGCGGCCCTGACCGTTGCGGCAGGCTGCGGGCTGCGGGCACAGCGGGCTGTGGCACGGCACGCAGGGCCGCAGGTAGTGCTCGCGCACGATGCGCAGCGTGCGGCCCTGGAAGGTCCTCAGCAGCAGCACCTTCTCCCGCTTCTGCAGCATGGCGCCCGCCCGCCACACCGTGCGCTCCGGGTCCCGATCCGGATCCCGGAACCGCCGCAACGGCCCGGCCCGAGCCCCGAGCCCCGAGCCCCGACCCTCCTCCGCGGCGGGAGGCGGGAACAACCCACCCCAAACCCGCCCCGAACCCGCCCCAAACCCAGGGCGTGCGGAGGAGCCAGCCTCAAAGTGCTGTGGCAAGGGAGGAACCCCATCCCTGAGCCCCAAATCGCTGTCAGGCATTTCCCTCTTAAGATGTACTTATTTTTTGAGCCCCAAATCGCTGTCAGGCATTTCCCTCTTAAGATGTACTTATTGAAAAGCTATTGTCAATTTTTTCCTCAGTACTAGGATTTGAACTCAGAGCCACTCCACCAGCACTTTTTTGTGATGGGATTTTCGAGTTAGGGTCTTGAGAACTAATTCCCCGGGCTGGCTTTGAACTGGGATCCTCCTGATCTCTGCCTCCTGAGTAGCTAGGATTACAGGCGAGAGCCACCGGCGCCCGGTTTATTTTCAATCTTAATGCATTTAAAATTTTAATACGTTTAAAATGAAAAGCAGTCCCTTCCCTGGAGTTAAAACCCTGTTCAACTTTTATAGCATTTGCAGCCTCTGGCAAAGGAACTCTGACAGCTGCCACCGCTGCAGTCGTCACGTCCTGCGGTGTTGGTGGCTCTGACGCGGACTCTCACAGTCGTCCCAGGCCGCACTCCGCCTGCGCAGGACGCGAATTCTCCAAGCACTCAGCCTGCTCGGCTGCAAACATCTCAGTTAACTTCCGCAGATCAAAGGACTGGGGCACTCTATCCCCATTTTACAGACCGAAGCAGGTTAAGGAGGTCAAGTAGCCAGCGTCACCCAACTATTGAGTGGTAAAACCAGCTTCCAAGCCGGGAGCCGGTGGCTCACGCCTGTAATCCTAGCTACTCAGGAGACAGAGATCAGGAGGATGGTAGTTCAAAGCCAGTCTAGGCAAATAGTTTCGCGAGACCCTATCTTGAAAAACCCTTCACAAAAATAGAGTTGGTGGAGTGGCTCAAGGTGAAGACCCTGAGTTCAAGCCCCAGTACTCCAAGCCAGGATCTGGTTGACGCCAAAACCGGTTCTTAAAAAATTACTGTGCTGTTCACAGACAGTAAAGTTTGGTCCTCCACCTAAGAAATTTCTAGTCCACTCGGAGCTCTACTTAGGGCAGATCGACCAGCTGGCTGGAAACATCTGGGCTTCCTATACTGTAGGACTGGGAGTGGGTCTCTCCCTTCCCTCTCAGGGAATACATTAAAAAAAAAAAAAAAAAGCCACAGTCCCTCATTGTACCTCATGAGTACCTCAATGAGGGACTGCGCAAACAGGAAGGTGCACAGGTAAAGTGCACAGGGCCATCAGTGCAAAAGGCCCACCTAACCCAGTTCAGTTCTGAAAAACCCAGAGGACACCAAGTACTCAAAATTGTCCCCCACATAAAAATTCTATAGAGAAGCTTGGCCTGGTGGCTCACACCTGTAATCTTAGCTACAGAGAGGCTGAGATCAGGAGGATCAAGGTTTGTGGCTAGCCCTGAGCAAATAGTTTGTAAGACCCCATCTCCAAAATAAACAAACCAAAATGGTCTGGAGGTGTGGCTCAAGTTGTAGAATACCTGCTTTGCAATGGGGAAGACCTTCATTCAACTCTGGTCCCTCACCAAAAAAAAAATCTTGAGACAACTGCCCATAATTCCTCCATAGCACTCCCATTTTCTTTTTTTTACTTCTGAATATACGGGGAAGGGAGGGGAATGACTTAATTAGGTACTAATTTTCCCTTAACATCTCTCCTTAGGACTTCATAGCTTTAATTTTCTCTAAATCTGGATAAATGGAGAGAGGCTAAATTAGAAACTCATAGAAAAAAAACATTCCATCTTAGATTAACCATGCTTTGGCTCAGGAACCACCCTCACCTGGCCAGGAACCACCCACGTCCTTCCCCAGTATTGATTATTGGTTGGGAATCTCCCTCTCCCCTTTCCATAGGTTATCATAGGTTTTAAAATCACCTGAAAGGCAGCTTCAGGATTCCACCTGAGCCTTATCACGCTTCCCTTTGTATTTCCCTTACCTAACTTTTAATAAACTCCATTTATCCCCATGTGCCCTGCCATGGATTCTTCCTGGTGGGATACAAAGAATTTGGAAGTCTTCTGATCACAGACTGATCACAGTGCTGCTAACAAAATGATCTTTTAAGGAATAGAATATACCTGGGGTTCAATTTCATCAGTATTTGAAACAATCCAAAGCCCATTGAGTGTTTCCTTGACTTGCAGTGATGTACTAATTACTTTTAAAAGCATTACCCCTTAGTTCCTGGAACTGATGATCTAAAATGGACAAGTGTCTTTTAGGTTGGTTGGTTGGTTTGCTTCACTGGCCATCTGATGCTGCTGCTTTTTTTTTTTTTTGGCTATATGGGGGTTTAAACTCAGGGCTCCCTGCTTGTACTCTAGGGCTTGAGTCACACCGCCAGACCTCCAGACCCCATCTACTGGCTCTTGACTAAAAAAAAAAAAAAAAAAAAAAAATGGGTTGCATATCAGTCAGGATAAACTAGTTTACGCTGCAGTAATATGTAACTTAAGAAGTCTCAGTGGCTAGAGGCCTGCTCAAGCTGTAGAGTGCCTGCCTGGCAATCCTGAGGTCCTTAGTTTAAACCCTAGGACCAGACCAAAACAAAACAAGACTCAGTGTTTTCATACAAGATGTTGCATGGCTGCAAAGAGGCTCCACTTCCAGAACCCAGGCTGAAGGAAGAGGGCTCTCTGGGACTCTGCTGGTCCTTGGCAAAGGGGAGAGAGCCCCCCCCAGAGAAGCTCACACCAACAAACAGAAGCTTAGCTTGTAGTGAGTGAAAGCACTCTGCTGCAGGCCAGAACTAGTCACATGACCACACACCAAGCAATGGGGGTGGGCCAAGAAGTGCACTCCTACCTCATGGCCCGAAGGCAGATTCCAAAACCCTTTGAGCTGCGCTAGCTACCTGAGTGCCTCTACCTTCCCTAAATTAGTCCCTCTGCCCTGCCATCACCTAAGCCCTATTACTTAGGACATCCCCAGCCTGCCACTACCTGCTGAGGCATTCAACTGCTCACCTGTTTTTACATTCACCCCACCTCCACCCCCAAGAGCCAGTAAGCCCAGCACACACCTCTGCATGGTCTCTAATCCTCATTACATAAGTAGTTCAGTATAGAGTTCTTAAGGCAGAAACTTCCCTGGCAGGTAAGATAGGTGTGGCCATCTAGCTGGCAGAATATAAAGGCCCCATTTCCAGGCAGTATTGATGCCCCCCACACCCACGCATGCTCAGCCAGTTGGCCTAGGGGATCTTGGAGACCACCATTAGATGGTAACCTCCCCCACCCCAACTTGAGTCCCTTAAGGACTCTGCAGAGCTGAGATCTGAATCCCGTCCAACCAGGGTCATCCACAGTGGACTCTCGTAAGAGAGAAATAAACTTTTTTACAGCAGCTATCATTACCCTAACTAATATATCCCCACTTTACAAAGGAGATGAAGAAAAGAACTCCCTCCAAGAGTCGCAGGGATAGCTGCGCACGAAATCCTCGCTATTCAAGCGGCAGAGATCAGGAGAATTAAGGTTTGAAACCATTTCCAGCCAAATAGTTTGAGAGACCTTATCTCAAAAATACCCATCCCCCAAAAAGGCTGGGGGCATGGCTCAAGCAGTAAGAAAGCCTGCCTAGCAAGTGTGAGGCCCTGAGTTCGAACCCCAGTGCCAGCAAAAAAAAAAATGTAGCTCTGTTTGTTAGACCTCTTGTGACACTACAGTCCCCTAGCCAGTGTGAGAGCATCAGTGTGCCACTGGGGCGGTGGTCTGCCGTGGACAACAGTGCCACGCTGGGCAGCTTTTCTCTTCGCTTGCCCCTTCCCTTGTCTGCAGCTGGACAGTTCATTGCCCAGACAGCAGAATGCTGTAACAGCTTTCAGTGCCCTAAAGCGGATGGAAATCTGTGGCTGTGGCCATGTTCCCCTGGTTCCCGACTTCAGTGTCTCCAGGCTGAGCACCAGTGTCTCGCGCTGCAGAGGGCTCGGTGGCATTCCCATGCCTTCTTGCAGATGCGCCTTGGGATGCAGACGCCAGCATCTATTAGCTCATAATCAAGATTAGCCAGGGAGGCTGTGGCAGCTCTAGAAAGGGCTAAGAGGAGGGGAGGTTAAATGTGAAGAAATTCTAGAAGATGAGCTGCAACAGCAAGAGTGGATTATAGCAGCAAGCTTTGAAATAGTCTGCATTTATTTATATAAAATCACAATAGACCAATATGCTTGTGACAACACAACCATCATCAAACAATGCCAAGTAAAAACATTTCCATCCTGTTTCCGAGCGAAGTCTATTCCTCTTAAGTGATTCGTCTTTGTTGATAGTTTACGTGCATCCCCGAAGCTTACAATTCTGAAGAGCTTGGCAATCTATGCCTCCCAGCTAATTACAGCTGGTGTTTTTCAGGCTTGTACTAGGGGCCAGGTACTGCTCTAAGCTCTTCCTGTTTTATTTCTTTTGAGACAGGGTCTCACTAGATAGCCCAGGCCATCACAATCCCCTGCCTCAACCTGCAGGCCTGCACCAGTTCTAGCTTGCACTTCCCGTATTTTGCATTTAATCCTGAAAACACTGCCTTGACTGTGTGCTGCTGTTAGCAAGTACATTTTCCAAGTGAGAGAACTGAAGGAGA